TAAGAACTATAATTATTAGAAAAGCTTTTGGTAATCTATTTTTTTTTCTTTATTATTTTAATTTTAAATGTTGTTGCCATTAACAATGAACATTGAACATATTTATTTTAAGCAACTATATATTTTAATTTGACTGTTTTATATTTTTGTTAGTTATACGAGTAGTATATTATACAGGTTGGAACAAATCGATGGGACAAGTACCTAACCGTCTAAGTCTTTATCTTTTTAAGGAAATAGCAAAAAGGTTATACGACGTCACAGGAGACCGAAGAGCTGGCAGCTACTTCGGACAGAGAATTAGTCTAGCTATTCAAAGGGGGAACGCTGCCAGTATCTTCGGAACCTTGCCTAAAGGGACTCCTTTTAATAATATTTTTTAGTTATTATATTATGTATATATACTTAAGGTTTTTTTTAATGTAATTTATCTTATTTATATTTTAAATTATTATGGTTTAATGTAATAAAATACATTTAATGTACAGAAAGTACCTTAAATATTGAAGTTATCAAGATTTACTCAAAGGAAATATTTCATTATTTTTTTAAATAATAATAACTGCATTTATTTATTTTTTAAAAAGCTTACCTGAACCGGGAATCGAACCAAATAAAAATGCCAAAACGGACACCGACACTATTTTATCGAATTAATCGATAGGATCGATGGGAAGGATAAAATCTCTCGAACGAATATTACGTCTTAGAATTAAAGAAAACTATGAAATCTTACAAATTATACTTACATATCGACTCTAACATCGTGGAACAAACACACAGGATGTAGAAGAAAAGTGTCTTAAACATTGAAAATATTAAATTTCAGTTAAAGGAAACATTATTATTTTTAAAATTAAGATTTTAAATTGTAACATACAATTTACATTTACAATAAGTTGTTTCCAAAAAAAATAATTAAAAGCGCGCTCAAATATTCAAATGAGCGCTCTTTCGGTGAGGACATTTTTATCGCCGATTATGTATCTACCACCTTTTTTGATCGATGACGGCCACTAAACTTATCTCATCACCGTAATGCATTTACCAAATGCATTTCCGGGATATAAATATTCTGAATCCAGGACATGGTCATTGGTCAATGCCAAGTTTCATCCAAATACATCAGATTGTTTACCTGTGACTGGCTTTGATTTGGCATATTCAATTTACAATCTTGTACGATAGCAAGTTCTGATGGCTTGACTTATAGAAAAAATGAAAAACCCATTATACTAGGTACTATAAAATGTTAATAATTACGAAGAGTTGCACTGAATTTGATTCAATCTTCTACTACTTGTTATAATAATGTGTAGACTCCATAGGTTGTTTTATAATCTATAAAAAATCATGCAATATTTAGTTTAGGAACTTTTAACTTTTATATTTTTACTTTTAACTTTTATTATTAGTTTAGGAACTTTTAATTTTTTAAATTGATATTTTACTTTTATATAATTTATTTGTTTTTAATGCTTACACTAACCACGAAAAAATCAACACGTTTTCAACTCAAAAACCAAAACAAAAATTAGCATTAGTAAAAGATCCGCGCATTAATTAATTAATATCGAGATTACAAAAGCAAAAGTGATCTTCTTCGCCTGTCTGTTGATTTCTATAACATACTAGCATTGGCCGCGGCTCCGCCCGCGTTCAGATTACCAAAAACCAAATTCTTAGGGTTTACATATTAGTATACTCTTACAATGCAGTTTTTGTATTTTTTTCTCAGAAATGAGATATTTCCACGCGGTAAAAAGCATCCTATATGTTGATCCGGATAACCAGCTATCACCTTACCAAATTTCATGAAAATCTCTCCAGTGGTTTTTCCGTGATGCGGTAACCGACAGACAGACAGACAGACAAAAATTCTAAAAACTATAGATTCGGACTCTGTATCCATAATAATGTCTATTTCAATAAGATTTTTCAAAAAATATTTAATGTACAGATTCGGCTTAGTTACAATTTTATTATATACTAGCGACTCACCCTCGCTTCGCTTCGGGTTCGTCCCTAGACAAAAAGAAATCTATCTTACGGAAACAGTACATTTTTTTGATATGATATATATATATATATATATATATATATATATATATATATATATATATATATATATATATATATATCCTGTAGCCTTTCTCAATAAACGGGCTATCTAATACAAAACCAATTTTTCAAATCGGATAAGTACATAGTTCCTGAGATTAGCGCGTTCAACAAACAAACAAACTCAGCTTCTTTATAATGTTAGTATAGATATATTAGAAATTTGAATTGTTATTCCTCAAGATGAGTTAAGGATTTTTACACATCGTCTACATCTATCACATCCACTATTTTTGGAGGAATAAAATATTCTCTCCTCAATCTCCTGAAATGTATTAAAATTATGTTATAATTAAAATAATCACTTATCTGACATACAGTTTATTTAATATTTTTCCGAGATGAAAAGTAACCTGTTGTTTGACCGGCAATACAAGGTATCAGCATGCCAAATTTTACTAAATTAGGTGCATAAGTTGTTGTGTACTAAGCTGTATAAGTTACTATAGTTTCTTAACTATCCCACGGAAACTCTTTAATTTTCCGGAATGAAAAGTATCTAAGATGTTGCCCGGGGATATAAGGTACCACCATGCAAAATTTCATTTAAATCGGTCTAATAGATTCGGAGATTAGCCCGTACAAACAGACAAACAGACAGAGAAACAAAAAAAAATGAAAAAAAAAACTGGATTTGTTCTATTTCTCTTCTTACAACGCCCTGACTCGGTTTTTAGCATTTTTATTCTGTTCAGACATTTGACCTCTACAGTTTTATATTATATTATATTTTATATATATATAAGCGAGCTACTCGCCTGTTGACATGTGTACTCTCGGCAGACCACTTGAGGTTAACACTTTTTATCCCGGAAAAATATACGGTTCCCGTGTCATAGGTTTGTTATAGTTTTCCTAGAGGTGAACCCGAGGGAAGCGATAGTGAGCCGCTAGTAAATAAATAAATCTGAATCAACTGTACTAAAATGTAGGTTACTTTTAATTGAAACAAATGTTGACTGGTACGAGTATATATTATTATGTAAAGTGGCAAGAAAGCCTTCATTAAAAGCGGATCGATTGAGCCCTACCGGGCTTTAATACATAATGTTTGTTGTTACAGTTCTTTACCTGAGCCTCCATCACAGTCACCTATGTAAGTGTGCTTTACATGTACATATATCAATCGATCGAGAAGAATTCAAAATTTCGAGTTCGTTCGTTCATATTCCCTCATGGCTATTTTCAACCGACTTCCTCAAAAAGGAGGAGGTTCTCAATTCGGCTGTATGTCTTTTTTTTTATGTTTGTTACCTCAGAACTCCGTCATTTATTATGCGATTTGGACCATTTTTGTTTTGTTTAAAAGTGTATACTTCCAGATTGGTCCCATGTATATATCAAAAAAAAAATACCACCCCTAAGGGTGGAAAAACAGCTAATTATGAATTTAACCTACCACTAATGGTCATATTGACTTGAAACTTTGCAAGTGTTTCTATTTCCGTTGATAGTACAGTGGTTCGGTATTGTTGACCTGATCTGATGGTAAAGCCAGAATGTGGATAGGTGGAACTTTTCAACGGCTAATAGTAGATACATTGAGTTTGGGCTTATTTTGTTTGATTTGCCGAGCATAACAAAAAAATGAAAACCCGACTTTAAACAAAAGCACAAAAAAAAATTAACAAAAAAATGAAAACCCGACTTTAAACAAAAGCACTAAAAAGTAAAAAATAACTGATTGGTAGTTTTCATTTACTATACATACCTAATCAAATAATTTCGAAGTCGGTGCCAGCCGATACAAAGCAAAGCACACCTTAGTGCTTTTGTTTGAAGTCGGTTTTTATTTTTTTGTTATTTTTTTTATTTTTCCCTTTTTAGTGTAGACAGTAGTAGTAAAGTAAGAATTCTAACGTGTCGTGTGTGTCTAATTCTAATGTAACGTGCGCAAGCCATCCGTTGATCCTAAGTTTCAATCCAACTTGTGTTAAAATATTTCTTATTTTGATTCGACTCGCTTTCTCTTCAAAATGACTGGAAAACAATTGTTCTGGGGAAGCTGTAATATTGGTACAGGTCCCGTCACGTAAAAAGAATGCTAAGGGACAGTGAAGGGGATGTGGCTGCACATGGGTACAGACGTCCTAAATTACTGGGCTAAATTGTTTTGTAATGATGATGCCATCTACCCGTTTTCGGCCACAGCGACTGCATTACGATGGTTTTCTATGGCGATCGTCGCGAGCTTCGATGTGCTGCTCTTTATTGTGCTCTCATGTGACTGGCATATCCAACTTTGAAAAGCTCCGAGCACAAAGCGGACATGTCAGAACTTCACTGATGACATTGTAATAATTTACAGCTGTAGGTGGCTTAGCTTGTTTTGCAATATAAGTGTAATTGTTTTATTGTAGAATCATAGTAGGTACTTTACTAGCTATTTAGTACTTTGGAATAAAAAAATAGACAATGTTTATTTTAGCATTATTTTTTACTTCGATCTTATAGTAGGTTGTTATCAGAAAACTTAAACTAAGACCCGTTTTAAAGTTTGTGACGTTGTAGGGGGTAATCTCTGGATCTACTGAACCGATTTAGATGAAATTTGGTAAGAAAATAGTTTGAGACCCTGGAAAGACATACTCGTAGGATACTTTTTATCCCGGAAATGATCCCTTAAAGGGGTGAAAATGGGGATGAAAGTTTATATTAGGAAGCAAGCTAAGGACGAACCCGAGCAAAGCGAAGGTGAGTCGCTAGTATCAAATAAATCAATGGTTCGTAAAGAACTACGTATGATTAATTGATGTTGTGGACAGAGTTATCATTTATCACTAGATTACGTCACTGTTAGTCCCATTCCACTTCTTCAATAAATTAAATTGGTCTGCTTATGTTTTACTTATTTTTTAGTATCTTTTTATCACTTCGCTATGGAGAGTGGCGCTGTGGGTTTGGTTTTGAGACTATCTCGTGTGATGGGTATAGCTCCTTATCCAAGAGGATCGAGACTTCGAGTCTCGAAAGCATTAGTTGTGTATGGATTCGTACTAGTTACTTTTATTAGTGAGTAATTTAAATTATTTTTAAACAATACATTGAGTTTGTAAAGTAATAAAAACTGAGTTTTAAAATTTCACCATCTATACTAATATTATAAAGAGATAAAGTTTGTGAGTTTGTGACGTTGTAGGGGGTAATCTCTGGATCTACAGAACCGATTTAGATGAAATTTATTAAGAAGATAGTTTGAGACCCTGGGAAGGACATACTTTTTATCTCGGAAATCATCCTTTAAAGGGGTGGAAATGGGGATGAAAGTTTGTATTGGGAAGCAAGCTAGGGATGAACCCGAGCAAAGCAAGGGCGAGTCGCTAGTATTATGTATGTACAGTAAAATTGAAAATTTAACTCTAACTGCAAAAACAGGTGTATAATATAATCTATACTTGTAATAAAATAGCAACAAAGCGAAATTTTTATCTAAATTTTATAATTAGTTTACATTTTTTACCTGGTTGTCTGTATCTGTATGCTTTTCACGCAAAAAGTTTTGAACCGATATTAACTAAATTTTGTGTAGTGATAGGATACCTTTTACTACAGGAAAATAGTATTTCAATCGCATGGGAAAATAAAACAAAAAGTTCTTCAGAGTTGTCCTTAAAAATTTACATGGCTAACGCTGGCTAAACCTTTAGAGATACATACATCAAAACAATTTAGGTATTAGTTGTAGGTCTTAAAATGGCCTTCAAAGAAACAAAAGCAGATCATAACCAGCGAAAGTAACTATATACTCGTACTAATAAGTTATTTGAATTATGACAATTTCCAGATTTTTACTCGATAACGGGGACCTGTGTCCATCTAATGAATTACAAAACCTCATTGTTAGCGCGAGACATCACACATGCTATCGGTAACTTAGTCACCGTTACGCTTGTGTTACTCGGAGCGTACACTGCTCAGGGAAGGATGCGGCATATGGCTCAATCACTTAAACAGCTAGAAGAGGTATTTTTACAAGCTTTTATTTATACAATATTTGTTTGTTGGTATGTTTGTATGGGTCAAATCTTGCAAACTGAGTTAAAACCACTTTGTCATATCTTAACGACTTTAAATTTAACATGTTGGTTCCGTTCAATAACAATGAGTTTTAAGGATAATTATGACCTTATTTTAGTAAAAACTTAAGCTGTACTATAACATTTTTACAAAATTCATTTATTCATAAGAACTCCTTGATTAACCTTTGACCATTAATCACTCTTATAAAGTTTTTTTTTAAATAGAAGAACTAAAGTCTTATTAACATACTTTAAAACTTCAGGCCAATAAGAAGATCCCCTTTATAGGAGCCATTCCGAAAGATCATGTAACATTTTGGCTTATATTTGGATTTATCTTCGGAAGTTTCATAGTTTCTTTTATAGACACCATAGCAACTATGTTTGTATTATCAAAACTCACATGTGAGTATAAAATTGATTGTACCTATATATTATCAGTACCTGGGCCACCGAGCTTCGCTCGTAGTTTTTGGTCAAAAGTACAATGTTCTTTTAAAAAAAAACTAAAAACTTGAATAAAGACCTAAGAATACATCTGAGAGGTAATTTATTTTTCTAATAAAGTCGTGCAGCCTTAATTCCTAACTTGAAAAGTAATTTAAAATGTTTTAGGGACAGTTTACATCATTATTTTCCACGTAGAACAAAATTTGGTTGTTCTACTTGAAATGCAACTGGTAGCGTTCGCAGCTCGAATTCTTCTGACTTTAAAAATGATAAACAAATGTTTGCAACACTTATCATGCATAGAAAACAAATATATGCCAAGTATGATTTTTACAATATAATTTATATTTTATATTCCTTTAAAGTATGCAATAAAAATATTTTTTAAATATTCCATAATTTACAGGAATGAATACTATGAATAGATATCGAAAAATGCCGAAAGTGGCATGGGAGATGGCGAAGAACGAAGACACTGCATTAGACGTGAACAGTGCTGTTAATATGAATAATATTAATAAAAATAATTATATTTTCACTTATATAGATGTTTTGGGTAAGACTTAGTTGTTCTGTTTTATCTTCTTATAATATAATGTAAACTAAAACCATAAATAGAATAGTCAAATAAATTAATGCAATATAGTGCTTAATAAATTAACAGTCCCCTCGGACGAATTGAGAATGAAAAATATATGAGATGATGTAATTAATAAAAATATACTTGGATAAGTTGTGCGTAGTTTTAGTATTGAGAGATAATATAGAAAAAGTGACATAGACAAAATAGTGTAGTAGTTTTAGAAAATATTATTTGCTACAGATAAAGTAGGGTTTAATTAACTATTACTACAACATGAGATAGAATATTCTAAGCCCGGGGCTTAATACTTTGATATGTATATTCCAATGATTTTTATTAACACGCTTGTTACTTTTACTTATGACTACTAAATTATATCTGGATGTCATTGTGAGGTGTATAGATTTATTTGAATCTTATTAAGTTTTATTTTTTTTTCATTTAAATAGGTGCAAATGAAACAGAGAGAACAGAGTATATGATACGTCAATTAGCTGTCTACTATCGACACATCTGTGTTATAATTAGAACATGGACCAGTTCAGATGGCCTCTTGATGGCTTTAATACTGATAAATCGTATGTTTCATTTGGTGCAACTTTTACTCAGTTTAATCATGGGGTTGACACAAAATTCAGGTAAATTACAGATGTAATTGCAAAGACTTTTTGCCTTATTCGATCCAGCTTTCTCCTTATTTACGAGTATAATATTTAGTATAAATAATTAGTATTTAAAATTCTATATAATAAACATAATGCTTTATATTGTAATATTTGACAGTTCTGAGAGACTTTGGATCTCTAATAACTTTAGGTTGCAGTTAAGTATATGGGACGCGGCCCCTGGAGGAGTGGGTGGTATTTTTGGATAGGGGAGGTGATAGAGAGTCCAAATATATAAAAATTATTTTGAGGAAACAAAAGAGTCAAAAAGTTATTGAGACTTAAAGTTATTGAGAGTTAAAGTAATCACTTATTTAGGTAAAGACATGTATGAAAATGTATTAGATATGTTGTAACTTTAAGTCTCAATAACTTTTTACTCCTACGTTTCTTCAAAATATTTTTTATATATTTGAGCTCCCTGTCACCTTTCCTATCCAAAAATACCACCCACTCCGCCAGGGGCCGCGTCTCATATACTAAACTCGTGCCTAAGTTTATTTAAAATACAATTGTCCTTGCAAAACTTCGTTAAACTACTGTCTATTAGTTTTCTATAAACGATCGTGATTATAGGATGTTTTTTTAAGTCCTGATTATAATCTTAATTGAAAAAACGACACCTAGCATTATTCCAACAAGAGTGTGTAGCTACACTCAACGTCTCGTGAAACACAGAAAAGTTAGCTCTGAAAAGAGCTATTTTATTGTCTGTATAAAATAAGAAGTAAGGTAAAGGCACCCAATTCCGAGGGGTTCTAAAAATGTCACGATATTCCGAGGTATTTAGAAAAACGGCGTTTAAAAGCAATTTACAATTATTTCTTTTTGTCTGCTAGATATCTTATTCAATTAATAATTTATCTGTTCGTGTTATTATGAGCAAAAGAGTGCTTTAGTGTGTGTACGTTTTAAAATAATTGGTTAGATGTACGAAAACACCTGACTCGAACGCGCGCTTCATACGTTTTGGACCTCATGCACGTGAATACTACGTTTTTCTAAATAGTGTTTTAGATAATAGTTTCATATTGTGTGAGTATATGTTTAGGTTGAAATTTTGGAGGGGTTATATTTTTTATCAAAAACATTTAACATGTGTATATTTCTTCACAAATTAAAGAGAACATAAGTTTTTAAAATACCACGGCATTAGGTGTCGCAATTTCATAGATGTTATCTTTTTTTTTTAATTTGGAAGGCAGTTTTATAATTACCAACTTATTGTTTTTGTTTTGATCAGGTACTTAAATAGCCTATAAATATAAAAATCTCAGGTACACTTTGGTGTCTCATTTACTAATTATACATATATTACTAATTACGAATTATATACATGAATACTAGCCAAAAATGCAGTCATTTATTAGTCAACACTTCACAAGAATTTAAAAGCATCTGTAAAATTGTTTCATACATACTTTCTGTTCCCGCCACTTCAGCCTTTACCGAAAGAGTGTTTTCTGTATTGAATGCAAAGTGGGGGATGACAGAAATAGAGCTTCTATTGATTTAATAAAAAATGAGCTCCTCATTTATTTCAATATTAACTTAAATTGAGGAGTGGCTTATGAATATTTTAAAAATCATAATAAATTGCTAAATTGCGCAAGAAGCTTCAAAAAATATGTTTTTAAAACGTCAAAAAAAAACTACTGTTTTCTTTTGTAAAATATTGTTCATTTTATTTCTCCAACTTTAACATACTTCATTTCTCGTACAAAAAGTTGGAAACCCTACTCCCCTTGCCCTTTCCTTTGTATTTTGTTTACTTGGAATTAGAAACTAAATGAATCGGAATTAGGATTTTTACATCGGAATAAGGTGCCTCGGACTTCTTCACATTTTCACATAATTTAAGATGTTATATAATTTTTTAATTGTCAAACTGTGAGTATATTTCAAGAGTAAGATTAATAATACTTTTGATAATAGTAGCCAATTCTACAGAAATGTATAGTATTTACTTAATTTTTAAAGTACTTTTAAGTTATGGTGAAATTACTGCGGAATTAGGTGCCTATACCTTAGTTCTGAAGAGAACTGTTTTACGAGTCAAGTACTACGCGTAGCAAGACTGCAGATCCGTCCGGCGATGGGAGGAAAATGCCATTTTGGGGCACCATTTGCCAAATGGTGCCCCGCGCGTAATATTTGCCTAGATACATTTATAACTTCGGCATCGAGCGCGAGCTCGCGCAAAATCACGCGATCGCGCCATTTCCCAGAATCCATGAGAGCAGAAGATTTGCGCTATTTTTATCCTGTTCATTTTTTACGACCAATCGTAAAAAAAATACGTATTTAAAATAATTTCAAGATTTTTATTCGACAACGTACTTTTTTCAATTGTAAATATTTTAATGTAACATTTTCTATTGGCTGTGAGATTTGGAAATTTTATCCATTTTTTGTATATAAGTAGTCACATTTTTTGTAACTAACATTCCACTCAATTCTACGGATTCTACTTATTTCAAGTTTCATTTCTAAACCCCCAACTTGTAAAAGTGCTTACCTAATAGGTATCTATTATTATTTTTATCATTATTTACAGATTTATTCCTTAATGTATTACTATATTCGTCAATGAACATTATCAATCATGTAATGGCGTTAGTATTGTTTGTGGAGCCATTTCAAAGAACTCATTTTCAGGTATGTTACCAACAGAAATATTTATTGCTTAAGAGTTATAACTAGTTTCTTTTATTAATTCATTCGAACTTACTTTTACTGTTGTAAATCATTTATCTGTCATATCTTGTAAGAAATAATAAATTAGTTCTTATATAACATTATTTATTTTGTGTACTTAGATGGAACGTACGTCTATAATCGTCCAGACTCTGAAGTGTAACTGCGGAGAGTATCGGCCACTGAGGAACGAATTGGATCTGTTTTTACGAATGTTGAAGCTGCAGAAAACCAGCTACTCTCCTCTTAATATGTGCACTCTCGGCAGACCACTCGTCCTTAAGGTGTGCATGCTCTTAAGGTATAGCTAAGTCAAAAAGTGGTGTCACGTATTGTTCAATAGCTCAATATACACTATACTGTCCCATGTACCTAGTGGCTAGCATGTAAGGCTACAGATCCGAGGCCTTCGGTTTGATTTCCGCGTCGAGCAAACTGTAACTATTCTCTAACTAACTATTAGGCTTTTCAATTGTCGGCAATAGTTCAATATCGGAATTTGTTCCAAAAAGCACGTAAGGACATCTAAACAGCGACTGATCTCTCAGTGGTCATATCAAATTTTACCTCTGGAATTTATGAGTAAAAAATAATAGAATAGAGGGTGCACTTGCATGCAACTGGTGAGTCTCAGTGAGATTGGCCACCGTGTTAGATATAAGTAAAAAGTAATTATTATTACTACAGAAATACTTATATTAATATATATATATATATATATATATATATATATATATATATATATATATATATATATATATATATATATATATATATATATATCTACCGACGATTTTTAATAAATTTTTTTTTCAGATATTTGGTGGCCTTTTCACATATTTAATGGTAATTTTGACATATGGACCTGAAGCTCAGACACCTTCACTGGTTTTTACAAACTATTTTTGAGATTTACTGCCGTTTTTCAAAATTAACATATGTTGATTGTTCGTTTGAGTGAGGCATCGAATTCTGTTAAGGAGGCGATCAACGACACTTTTAGCTTCAGTTATCAATGAATGTCGACTTGGACTAGTGTCTAAAATGTAGTACAAACCATGAAAATGCAACGTCTTACCTATCACGAGTTATTCATCAAAATCTAGCTGGTAACATTAACTCTTTACTACGCTATTTTAATAATAAGTCGCTCAGATATAAAGATAAATTGTGTTTGATATGCCGAATAAACTTTAAATAGTGCTATTTTCCTCGTTATAGCAATTAACATTTTTGTTACTAACCAAAGAGGATGCTTAGATCAACAAATACTTTTTAAGTTTTATTAATCTACAGTTAATTTTCTAAACGAGCCCGGCATGCCCAAATATTGATAGTTGAATTTTTCTTCACTTCTATATGATTCATCTGTGTGGGGCTCTTTCATTTCATTAAAGTAATCATTAAATTCCTTAGAACTTAGCTCGTTTTTAAGATTCTCTGCTAAAAATATAATTGTTATTACATTTGTGGCTATTGCGTTCACATAGCTGTCATAGATTTTTTCTGATTGTTTTCTCACATAATTATGTTGTAGATTCAACTGATAAATTAATGTAAATAAAAAATAAAATAATAAAAAATAAATTTTATTTTATTTAATAACTACCTAATTAATTTTTGATAAAAACTGACACCGAATTTAAAAACAATTTAAATGTAATAAATTCACTGTAATAAGTTTAAGGATTTAGATAAAATCAAAAATGTCATCATTAATTTTTTTGTCAGCAACTGAAGTTGATTTTTATGTTTATTTTAAATAGGTACAATTATTTGAAGCAACTACTGTTTATTAATTAAATTCAAAGCGTTAAGAAAATCTTGCATAAATACATACTTAACATGAATAAGGAATTATCGTGAGAAACATGATTTTTTTTATTGCCAGTATTATACATGTTGGATAATCCATACTAATATTATAAATGTGAAAGTGTGTTTGTTTTTTGTTTGTTTGTTTGTCCTTCTTTCACGTCGAAACGGAGTGACGGATTCTCGTAATTTTTTGTGTGGGGAGAGTTGGAGGGCTGGAGAGTGACATAGGCTACTTTATACCGCGGGATATTATCTCTTTCCTACGGGAAAACACGTTATTATACAATCCAAAAAAATATTTATGATCAGAATTACATGAAACTTGGTATTAATGCTGTTTAATAAAATTAAATAAATACGTGTTTTAGCATTTTTCGAAATTCATCCTATAAAGGGGTTAATTTTTTTTGCTGTTTTAGCGCGAGCGAAGCCGCGGGTTCTGCTAGTGTAATAATAAAAATAAACTTAATATAGCCATAGTCGATATTAAACTAATTAAAAACATGATCTTTTTGCATCAAATGTTAACAACACATATTTTTTTATAAAAAATTATAGTTTTTATAAAAATTGATAAGTCTTTATCATCATCATCAATCGTTGCATCAAAATTTTATACGCCTATGCATTATTGTAATACTATTAAGTTCCGTTTTAGATTTCTCTTTGCCACCGTATTCTAATGACAAATCGTCTTTTGGAATTATATTTTGTAATTGTTCCATATCTTTCAAGACTGCTATTCGTTGGAAGATCTTTGAACTTACAGCTTGCTTTACAATTGAAACCAAAACATCGATTGCTTTTGAAGGTGTTATAAAATATAAGCCTTTCAATCTCATCCCATATCCCTCCTGAAAATAAGTTATTGAGTCTTTCTGTATAAGTAAGCCTCAGTAACAGCCCGGAGTTGGGAAGTTGGCGGTGTTACACTCCCGTGCCTCGGAGAGCACGTAAAGCCGTCGCGTCGGTCCTGCGCCTTAACTCTCACTGGTCGTGACGAGTGGTCGTCCCACCAGAGTGCTCCTGCGCAGTTGGCTAGTCTCAATGAGATTGGCCGCCGTGGCCGGAATCAGTCAGGAGAACATCATCATCATTATTTTCCATAAACTTTGCTACTATTCGTGAATCAAAGATAGAAGAAACCATTATATATTTAACTAGTAACTTACCCCGCTTACCCTCGCTTCTCTCAGGTGCATCCCTAGGTACGTCCCTAGGTACGTCCCTAGCTACGTGCAGTGGTGCTACTACAGTTTAATAGGAAGATCTTTTTAAGAGAAATAATTCTTTAAAGCACACATTCTTTTCATATAACTTTGTTAGTTTACGCGGCACACGCCTATAAAGCACGCAGTCGGTATGATTTTCTCCAACATCTTCAACAATCATAATCATATTTCAGCCAATTTACACAAAACCTAATGAATTATACACCTAAACCTTCCTTATGAATCACTCTATCTATTTGTGAAAACCGTATGAAAATCCGTTAGGTAGCTTTTGAGTTTATCGCGTTTAGACACACAGACAGACGCGGGCACAAGTCTAGTATATGGGACGCGGCCCCTGGAGAAGTGGGTGGCATTTTTGGATAGAAGATGTGATAGGGAGCTCGAATATATAAAAGTTATTTTAAGGAAACGAAGGAGTCAAAAGTTATGGAGACTTAAAGTTAGAACATTTCCATACATTTCAATACCTAAATAAGTCATTACAAAAGATAAACATACCTTTAACGTATAGTAAATATTATTTTTCGCCTAAAATCTATATTTTCATAACAATTAAAGCTTTATTGTATTAATACATTGATAATTTTCACTAAAAACAATAATCTAAACAAATTAATCTTAAATTTTTACGAAACTGTCAATTTCTGTTTTTTTTTTTAAATCGCTTTCAGGACAACAACAGATTATTAAAAGTATAAATTATCATCATATTACTAAGAGTTTAAAATAGAAATATGTTATTTTCAATCTATGCATGCATTTACGAGTTTTTATTTTTTTCAACCGACTTCAAAAAGGAGGAGGTTCTCAATTCGACTGCTTTTTTATGTTTGTTACCTCAGAACTCCGTCATTTATTAATCGATTTGGACAATTTTTGTTTTGTTTGAAAGGGTATACTTCCAGATTGGTCCCATTTAAATTTAAAAAAAAAATACAAAATACCACTCCTAAGGGTGGAAAAACAACTAGTGATGAATTTAACCTACTTCTAATTGTCATATTGACTTGAAACTTTGCAAGTATTTCTATTTCCGTTGATAGTACAGTGGTTCGGTGTTGTTGACCTGATCTGATGGTAAGGCCAGAAGGTGGGTAGGTGATACTCTTCAGCGGCTAATAGTAGACACTTTGAGTTTGGGCTTATTTTGTTTGATTTGACAAACCTAACACGTTAGAATTCTTACTTTGCTACTACTGTCTACACTAAAAATTTTTTAACAAAAAAAAAACCGACTTCAAACAAAAGCACTAAAAAGTAAAAAATAACTGATTGGTAGTTTTCATTTACTATACATACCTAATCAAATATTTTCGAAGTCGGTGTGCTTTGGCTAAGTAATTAAAGCCTACCTATTAAATACACACCTAATCAAATATTTTCGAAATCGGTGCCAGCCCATACAAAGCCAAGCACACCGACTTCGAAAATATTTGATTAGGTATGTATAGTAAATGAAAACTACCAATCAGTTATTTTTTACTTTTTAGTGCTTTTGTTTGAAGGCGGTTTTTATTTTTTTGTTAAAAAGTTTTTATTGTGACATTACAAACAGACACTTCAATTTTATTTATCTGTATAGATAGTTGAGATAATCTAAGAAAGAAAGATAAATTATTATTTTCTTATAAGTAAACTAGTACTGAATGTAATTGTGCATAATAGAAATTGATCTTCTATATAAGTAAAACTGAATGTTTTTTTTGTATGTTTGTACTGTATGCGTTCACACACGATTCATCTGATTAATGAAACTCTGGTGTTTTTTTTGTTTACGACCGCGTTATTGGCCCATTTTTAACCGAATTTAAAAAAAAGAGGTTATTAATTCGACACCTACTCGTATGTATGTAATATTATTGGTCCTGCTAAATATTCACATATAATAATCTGTTAGGGCTTCCAAACAAATATACAAAATTTTATAGGTGTATGTATGTATGTCTATTTGTATGTATATAAGTATGAATCAGTGGCGAAGGGTCCATACAAGACGATTCCCACCGTCTTACCTTTTACAGGTCCAATAATCCATCATTCATTATAAATAATTATTACTTGAAATTCAATATTTGTGATACACAAAATTAGTAGTTAATTATAAAAACTTAAAAAAAACCGACTTCCAGGCAGTAAAATGTAAAAAATAACTAAACGGGGGTTTTCGTATAGAATAGATACCTAATCAGATATTTTCGAAGTCGGTAATTTGTAAGAAGAAAGATTTTTAATAACATATTCCATTAAACAATTTATTTAAAAAATATATTTATTGTAGATTTTTTTAAAACTTGTTTAACCTGGGAAGGGACCCTTTGAAACCAAAAAAAAATATTTCCATATCGGTTCAGGCGTTTTCGAGTAATCGGTGAACATACATTAAAAAAAAATATTCCGACGAATTGAGAACCTCCTCCTTTTTGGAAGTCGGTTAAAATCAACTTATTATTACTACGTCAATATCTGAAAATAATATAACGCCTACAAAAAATCATAAGAATTAAAAAAATCATAATCACGCGCAAAAATGTATTTGCGCTTCAAATTGATCAGGCTTTTCTTCATAGAAACGCGTATATATATATATATACCGTGTTAATACTAAATTGTCTTTTGTCCAGAACCAGTCAATGTATACAACCATATAATCAATGTTTCACATCATAAATGATTTTTAATGGTTACGAATAAGTCTCACACTGTAAAAAGGCATAATAATAATGTTCTCGGCCACGGCGGCAATTCTAAGCTAGCCATGTGTGCAAAAAATATTATAATACTAGCGTTCAGATGACCAAAAACCAAATTCTTAGGTTTTACATATTAGTATACTCTTACATTGCAGTTGTTGTATTTTTTTGTCAGAAATGAGACATTTTTCCAGGGTAAAAAGTATCCTATATGTTGACCCGGATAACCAGCTATCATCATACCAAATTTCATTAAAATCCCTCCAGTGGTGTTTCTGTGATGCGGTAACAGACAGACAGACAGACAGACAGACAGACAAAAATATTCTAAAAACTATATATATATATATATATATATATATATATATATATATATTAAAATTCTGTAACAGTGTACATAAACGAAGATATAAATACTATTCGTGTTTAATTTACAAAGCCTCTAAAATATAGTTTCACGTATTTATGACGTTATAATTTACACGATAAGTACTACATTATACAATATGTACTACATTATACTACATACACGTGAGTGTGACAGTGTCTCGAATCAACTTGTAACAGCACGTAGCGTACTTGAAATATTTCATAATGAATTTTGAATATTAATAGTGCTATAATAAAATTTTATATTATTTTATTATATCATTTTTGTTTATAATGCTTGTTAAAATCTTAGTTTTTTATATGGCAGGCTTAGTTCTTAGTGATGAATATTGTTACTTCAATTCACCGTGTGTTTATGAATTATTTTCATCAAAAACTGCTTACGATAGTGTAAGGGGTGATATAAGGAATGCAAAAGTATTACCTGGTAAGTCTGTATTCTAATAATACGGTTAGATTTATTTATTTTTATATACTACTTTATAGTGGGTAGGCACTGTCTGTAACAATGTATAAAGCCTTTGAGACGTCTATAACCTTAGTCTCTCCCGTGACCATGATTTCTGTAAAGCATTCGAAACGTCGGAACCAAAAATCTAAATAAATCCGCGAAATAAACCGAAAAGATAGTTTTATTTAAAATCAAGTTCTTTTTTTGGGATAGAAACCTTTGGAGGCGTACGTAATACAATTCACCAAAGTTTCGTCAAAATCGGATGAATGGTTTGGAAATTCATAAAGGACAAACATACACAGAAACATTCAGTTTTATTTGTATTGTTATAACTAGTAAGTCAGTGAATAACATGTACTCGTATATTTTATTATATAATCTTCCAATAATGCCCTTCACCACGTTCCCCTTTGTCTCGTGTTCGGTTCTGTGAACATATTTAGAGCATAGCGGTAATAATAAATCGTTGGCTCAATATTACAAGGTTCTATGTTAATTTTAATGAAGTTTAGTAATTTTTACATAGAACTTCGATATTTTTTTATCGTAATAAAAACAACATAGAACTATGTAAAATTGAATATTTTGTAGTTAAAGTGCCGCCATCTAGTGGTTTGTTTTTGCAAAACCGTAGCTAATGACACATAGAACCTTGTAGCATTAATAACTAAATAAGTACTAAAATTGTAACATAGAACCTTGTAATAGTGAGCCAACGAATTTATGTCGATGACCGACATACCATGAGTTAAAAGGTCGCAGATTCAGTCTATCTAAATCAGATCTAATCCTAAACTAATACATATTATTTTTCCTATCTACCTTTTCTAATATTTTTTCACACTTCTTTTATAATACAATTTACACAGCTTTACCCAATTTTTGCGTAAACCCTTCCTTTAACCAACTTTTTACGAAATTATTTTCTTATATTTAAAATTTTTATGTTTGGTTTTTAAGTTTTTTTACTCGATATTTCTTATAAATATTTCCGCTGCGTTAATTTTGAGGTTAAATGGGTTTTAATAACTGTATTCGATGAACATAAAGTAATTGAAAGTACAGAGTATTTAAGCTTACAATACCTTTTAAGGACGCATGGATATTATTTTAAACTTTCACAATATAATCGAGACCTGTTAAAACATTTTTGTGAATTCGCTAACTGGTAATAAAATAAATAAATACATTTTTAAAGCAAATTACTAGTGAAAATTTGCTATATAGTATAGCGATTTACCGCTTTATCTATTTCCTTGGTAAGCTACGAGGCTTGTGTTATATATATAAACACCCACGACTGGAGTACAAACATTTGTGCTCATCAGACAAATAAATGCCCGCAGCGGGACTCGAACCTAAGACCGCTGGCACAGCAAGTACTACAAACTACTAACTACTAAGACAACTACAAACTGAGCCAAACGTGTTTCTAGTAGACTAGGTATCTGTAATATGTTAATTTAATATAATTTAAGGTTGTAAGCCAGTCGGAGTATGGTCGCTTATCAGGCATGGCAACCGCAACCCAGGTGACTCGGTAACTAAAAATATGAAGACACTATATGAGAAGCTGGTTGTAGAAATAAAAAAACAATTTGAAGAGAAAACCAACGTTCATTGTATACAGGTATTGCTTTACTCCTTCTATTCAGGCTGTAATTTTGAGGCAAGTTGACTCAGACTGTGACTTCAGTGATCAGTCAACTGGTATTATTTAAAAAACTCATATAATAGATTATTATACCTAGGAATCCATTTAATAGTTCGGATAAATTATCTATAAATCCAACTCTAAGCATTATGGTTCCAAAAAAAAGAAAACTATATAATTCTTTAAGCTTTCATGGTCACTGATAATATTTTTCTGGTGTAAAACGAGATAGTGATGTTGTTTTTACTTATCTTAATTAATTCTTAAAATTTCGGTACTGCTACAAGTGCCATGGTCACGGCCCACTAGTAAACTGTACTGTCGAGGTACTAAATATCCCGTTTTACATCAAAAGAAGAAAATCTAATTTTTTGCATTTATATTATTAAATTGACATCAACTGAAGTTTGATTAAACGTTAAAGCAGGTGTAGCCCAATGGTAAATGGTAATGCGATAAAGCAGTGGTAGCCTAGTGGTAACGCGCTCGCTTGGGAAACCGAGCGAAGCGGGTTCAAATCCCGGATATCGCACCTCTGATATTTTCATGTGCGAATCATTTCTAACATGTTTACCACTTGTCTTACGGTGAAGGAAAACATCGTAGAAAATCTGCGTGTCTGAACCTAGCAACTAGCAAGTTTTCGAAAGACATGTGAAGTCTTTCGGAAGACTATAGCTGACTATGGCTCCCTCTCGTATTGAACGGATGTCTATGACCAGCAGTCGGACGTTAAAAAGGGAATACATACATACAATATTAAACGTTAAACTACATAATTACTAAAGAACATTGATTATTGTACGTGAAGTAGAAATCTGTAAGAATAATTTGAAACGATACAAATGTAAACAGATATTTTCTAAATAATGGAGTGACATGGTTTTAAATGTTTTTCCTATTACAGATATTTCGATTTCAAACCTCATTTGATGATTTTTATGCTATATAATTATTAATTTTGTAGGATATCGAGAACTGTGCTACATCTGGGTGGAATTCCACTTTAGAAGTCGCCACTAAAGACCTCACAGGAATAGGTTACAAAGAGATTTTTGATATAGGAAAGCGGATCCGACAAACATTTACCGACGTTTTAAGTTTCTCAAACAACAGCTTTTACTTTAGATCTACAAATGAACAAAGAACTATTACTAGTACGATCGCTTTCGTTCACGGCCTTACTGATGAGAGTAGCCTAAATCTAGATAACAACATTGATAAACCTTGGGACCAGGATGATGTCATACGAGTAAGTAATTTTAATATCTATACCAATATTATTATCTATACAATATTAGTATAGATTAAAAAAGTATGAAGAGGCAGAGTCTGTTTGTTTGAACGCGCTTATCTCAGAAACTATTAATCCGATTTAAATATTTTTTGGATTAGATAGCCCGTTTATTGAGGAAGGCTATATATGATATAATGTATAGTCTGTCTATTCCATATTAACCGTTAAAACGTACATAGGGATAAACCCCTATATACCCATATATATATATATATATATATATATATATATATATATATATATATATATATATATATATATATATATATATATATATATATATATAGGGTGAGTCGCTAGAAGAGTATAAATTAGTTCTAAATAGATATATGTCTTTACAAAAGTTAAAGATAACTTGTTTAAATTAAAAATTATACTTACTTCGAAATCATTTTCTTATATTATGTCATCCTCAAAGGTGGAATTTTTCTTGAATTTTGCAATTTACTCTTGAGATATAACGTATTAAATTTAACATTAAAATAGATTCACAGTTGGCAAAAATATTAGATATCGCCTTTCATTCACATAAAACAGCTTGTTTCTAGTAGAAGAGTGCCATCTTTTTTGAAGTCGGTTAAACAATAATAATATAATGGAAAAATTGGAATATGGAGCTAGTGAAAAATAAGCAATAATAGAACGTAAAGTTCATTTTGTAAAGTGAAGCAATTTAAAATTAATTTTATATTTAAGCCATACGAAAATTGTACCATCTACCAAAAGGACGTGAAAACTGGTCAAGTACTCGATGATGAGATAGCCGCTTATTATTCAAGCGCTGAATTATTAGCAGTAAGTTATTTTTTGTATATTACCTACATATTTAAAACTTTTTAAGTTTCTGATTTTAGTTTTTAAATTTAGAGATCCTTAGTAGGAGTGGAGAAGTTGACGGCAGAAATAACATCCCGGAGTAAGGATTTTGGTAGTATTTTACCCCCGTGCCTTAGAGAGCACGTAAGCCGTCGGTTCTGTGTGTGATCTCTCAACGATCGTATCAATTGTTATCTTACCGGAGTTTAAGAGTTATAGGAATGGTGTTCACGCGCACAATAGTGAACTATAATATTCCATGCGTAGTTGGCTAATTTCAATGAGATTAGCTGCCGTGGCCGAAATTAGTCAGGAAGACATTGTTTAAACCTTCGACTGCCATTGGTCAACACGGTAAACAGATATGGCGATATAAACTGCATGTCTGAGCGTACCTGACTAATTTGTTTACTAGTCCCCAACATTCATATGGCCAATGTTTTGGAGGAGGCTCACTTATCTATACATACATATATATTATAAAGAGGAAAGATTTGTTTGTTTGTTTGCACCGAATAGGCTCCGAAACTACTGAACCGATTTAGCTGAAAGGTAAGAAGATAGTTTAAAACCTTAGGAAGGACATAGGATAGTTTTTATCTCGGAAATCATCCCTTAAGGGGATGAAAGTTTGTATGGGCAAGCAACCTAGGGACGAACCCGAACGAAGCGAGGGTGAGTCGCCTGTTCTTCATATTGAAAACACCGTGCCCTACAGTGGGACGTTATAAAGGCTAAATTGTTATTTTAGAATAAAACGTTTCCACACCACCTAAAAGAACTAAAATGTTGCGTCCGCTAACAAACAAATCATTTAATCAAATAAAATGGCTGACACATATGTACATATTTGAGGGACATGATGAAATTATAAAAAATCCATTTTTCCTTTGGGTAACAAAATTCTAAAATTGATTGTTTCAGCATATCCTAATATTTAAAAATATTTTTAGGTCAGGGATAGAGTCCAAAAACGTTTAAACATAAATTATCAAATAACTGCTGAGGAACTTTACTACTTATACGAATATTGTCGTTTTCATCGAACTTGGTCCCCTAATCTCCGAGACCCGTGGTGTGCATTCTTCCTACAAGAGGACCTCGAAGTGCTGGAGTACAGAGATGACGTACGTCATTATTATAGAAATGGCTATGGATCAAAGGCGAGTATAAATTAAAAAGTGCAAAAAACTTAATCTATACTAATTTTAAAAGAGTCCCTAGTACATTTTAATATTTTTTGAGCGGCACCCTAATTTTTTTCTAAGATAAAATTAGTCCAGCTGTTTCCGAAATTAGCCAAAACAAACAAACAGACAGTCACACATATAAACATTTCAAAAATTGTGTTTTTCTTATATGTAGTGTATATAATTTCATATGCATTTAGTAAAAACCTGTTATTTTGACATTACAAACAGACTCTTCAATTTTACTGTACAGATTGACATACAAAACCAGCATGAGACACAATAATGTAAAATGCTATAAAAATAAATTATGATTAAACAAAAAAAAAAGAAAACAAGCCTTAAAACTTAAGCCAACAATTTCATTAAAGCTATTAATAATAATAATATGCGTTTATTTCAGACAAGAAGTCCATTAAAATCATCAGTACACAGAAAACAGAAATAGAAATAATGAAAATAAATGATCACATATAATTTTTCAGATAAATATCAACTTAGGAAGTGCGGTTTTAAAAGATTTGTTTGACAACTTTGATACTCTCACTTCTACTGGGGGAGAGAAGTTTATCGCCTATTTCACACATGACACGATGATTGAAATGACGATATGTGCTCTTGGACTATATAAAGATTCGAAACCACTACGAGGATCGTTTAGAGATGTGAACAGATTATGGCGAACCAGTCTTATGAGTTCTTTTTCTGCGAACATCATAGCTGTTTTGTATAGGTAAATATATATTTTTTATTATATCGTTAATACGAGAAGGATCAGCCCAGAGGCCATAGTCTACAACGCTGGCCAAATACGGGTTAGCGGACTTAACATGTCTTCCGAAAACTTGTAGGCTAAGTGGTAATCACGTGGCAAATGAAAATGGTGCAAATTTTGTTATTTGAACCCGCTTCACCCAGTTTCCCAAGCGAGCGCGTTACCACTGGGATACCACTGCCTATTACAGTAATATAATGGCAGTGCCTATATATCAAATATATGAATAAAAATGTGCGTTTCTGATACGTTACGTGTGACGTTAACAAAAAAAGGATTAATACTAATATTATAATATGTATGTAGAATATAGATATAACTTATTGACTTTAAGATAATCTTTCAATATTGAATTAAAAATCTTTTTCAGATGCAACGAATCAAACGAAACACATCGAGTTCAATTCTTTTTGAATGAGAAAAATACTAATATTTGTCCTGAAGATGGCTGCACTTGGGAGCAATTCGTGAACAAGTTCCAGGTTTACTCAAACTCCAGCATTGAGATCTGCTCTGATAACGAGTACGCTTTTCACCAAACGAACAGTGGTTACATACATACATATTTTACAATGAAGCTATTAATATTATTGTCGATATTAGTTAGTTTTAGATTTTAGTTATCTCTCTGTATTATTTAGTACCTGGGCGACCGAGCTTTGCTCGGAGTTCTTTTTTGTTACATCGTATTTTTTTGGATTAGAGACAAAAAAAACTAAAAACTTGAGTAAATACATGTTAAATAAAAACTACGTTGTATTTTATGGAACGTGTTGGCGTTTATTATTAAAATAAAACATTTAAACAACAGTCGTCTAAGTCTATCATTTTTAGAAGGAAGCAGGAACTACACAGAGTATATTGCTACGTATATAAACTGTCACATTGACAATAGACAGATGACAGACAGTGAGGTGCCTGACATTTCAACACTCCTCCTCGAATTTAACATTTCTCAAATTTAAATTTGGTATCAAGCACATCACTTATCAAATATATTTACTTCTTACAAAACAATTTCAACTTAAAAATATTCACTAACTTACATTAACCTGAACTTAAAATTTTTTCTTAATAACTTAAGTTTTACACAACAAATAGCTACTTAATATTAATATTACATAATAATAACAACAATCATACAATACGAGTTTACAGTAGTACTCCTCCTATCATAATACTTTCTAACACATAAATTGATCTCTAAATTTTAAAAATTTGTCTTTACATAAACTTTTAGTCATTATGTCAGCTAAGTTATCATTAGAATTAATATATTCAATAGCAATGATGCCCTTTTCAACAATATCTTTAAGAAAATGAGCCCTAATATCTATGTGTTTAGTTCTTTTTGAATTTTCATAACTTTTAGACATAGAAATTGCTCCTATATTATCCACGAGTAAGATGGCATCATTTTTGAACTTTAATTTTGGACTTTAAATGTTGACTGTAGTTCTTCTAAATACTAGTCCTTTATATTTAGTTTCTTTTAGGTAGCGTATAACTCTCTTACTAGCTTTCCATAATTGTTCAGTTGGTTTGTCCAGGTATCTGCTTAGATAAGATACTGCAAATGTCAAATCCGGTCTTGATGTTACAGTTAAGTAGATTAAACTACCAATCAGTTCACGATAAGGTACATCCAATATTTCTTCATCATCATATATCTGTATATTATAATTTATCTCCATAGGTGTTTTCATTCCTTTACAATCACTCATATTGAACTTCTGTAATATTTTCTCTATCATGTTAGTTTGTTTTATGATTATAGTGTCTTCACTTCTTTGTATTTCCATACCTAAAAATCTTTCCATTTTTCCTAGATTTTTCGCATTGAACTTTTGTTTCAATTCCTTTATTATGTCATCTCCATTTCCAATTATAAGAATATCATCTACATATATTAACATCCAACAGTCATTTTTGTAGTACATACAATAATCATATTCTGAACGTTGAAATCCATTGTTCTTCGCAAAATCATCTATTGTCTCATTCCAGCATTTTGGAGATTCTGTTAATCCATAAAGTGCTCTTTTAAGTTTTAATACTGTTTTAGAATTAGAATTTTTCACCTTTAATCCTTGTGGCACTTTAATATAAACTTCTGACTTCAATTTTCCATTCAAAAAAGCGGTAGGTATATCTAGTTGATTTATCATTAAATCTTCTTGTAGAGCTTTAGATATGAACATCCTAACTGTAGAGTGTCTTGCAACTGGAGCATAATTGCTGTCAAAAATATCTTCTTTCTTCTGTTGAAAGCCCCTTACAACTAATCTTGCCTTTTTAGTTCCTTTTTCTTTTTGTTTAAAAATCCATTTTGTGTCTATGGCTTTCTTTCCTGTAGGCAGCTCCTTTTCTTCCCATGTATCTAGTTTTTCCAGTGCTTGTAGTTCCTTTTGAATAGCTTGTTTCCACTCTGTATTACTCACTGCCTCTTCAAATGAGTTTGGTGTATTTGCACACAAACATGTGACTATATCTGATGCATAATCTTCTAAATGCGCTGGTCGTTTTACTATTCTACCTGATCTTGACTTCTTTACTAGTTCACTTTCTCTATTTAAGTTCTTTTCTTTTTCTGCTTCTATTTGAATATCTTGACATTCTGTAGTCTCAGGTTCTGTGCTTCTAATTTCCTTGTCTCTGACTTCTGCAGTTTTCTGTACTTGATAGTCTATTTCTTCTTGAATAAGCTGTTCTTCTTCACTTTCTTTGTCTTCGATATATTTAAAATCGCTTTCATCGAATATGACATCTCTTGATATTATTATTGATATTATCTTCTGGATTCCATAATCTATAGCCCACAGTATTGTAACCAACCATTCTTGTAGGTTTTGCTCTTTTACTTAACTTATCCTGTTTCGGTATTATAGTTGTCCAAGCTTTTGATCCAAAGACTCGCAGTCTTGATAAATCATTATGTCCATTTTTCATAAAGCATGGAGTATTAAAGTTGATAGCCCAGGATGGAGATCTGTTCAACTGGTATGCAGCACACTGAATGGCTTCACACCATAAGAATTTAGGTAAGTTCGTCTCTGCAAACAAAGTTCTAGTTTTATCACACAAAGTCCTGTTCAAGCGCTCTGCAACTCCATTTTGTTGTGGCGTATAAGGTAGAGTATATTCTATATTTATTCCTTTATTGTTACAAAAATTCTTCAGTCTATTTGCTGTATACTCTGTACCATTATCACATCTTATTCTTTGCACTTTATTTCCAGTTTCATTTTCTAATTTAATTATGTAGTTAATAAGTTTCTCTGTCGCTTCTGACTTATGCACCAATGGATATACAACACAGAAATGGGAGTAGTCGTCAATTACAGTCATAAAATATTTCTCACCGTTTAAACCACAGTTCTTGGTAGGTCCTGCAATGTCTGTATGCAACAACTCTGCTACTCTCTTAGATCTAGGTCTCGGCGTCTGCTTAAATGGTGTTCTCGTAGCTTTACCTTCTATGCATGGGCCGCAAACTTTTTCAGAAACCTGTAAATTCATAATACCTAATCCTTTTTTATTTAAATGACCTAACCGTCTATGCCAAATGTTAGAAAGAACATCATCACTCTTGTTATTACTGATATTACATATTTCACTACATAATTGAGCATTTAATTTATATAACATTCCATCAGCATAACAAATAACATATATATTTTTATTTCTTATTACAGCTTTTGTTTTATTAAACTTTATATGAAATCCTGCTTCAGTTATTTTATTTACTGACAATAAATTATATGAAATATTCTTTACAATCAATGCCTCTATATTTATTTTTATATGTTTATACATGAACTTCAACTTTCCCTTTTTATTACTCTCTATATATTGACCATTAGCAACATATATTTTAACACTTTTTTGCAATGTTTTAATATCAGTTAAATATTGTTCATATTGATCACTTATAATATGTTGGGTACAACCTGAATCTACGATAAATGTAATATTAGAATTATCAGTTAATCCAAACATGTATTCACTGGCAAAAAATCCAACTTCCGCCTTACCAGCTAGGGACGTCTCTTGGGCTTGACCACGTTGTCCTCGACCTCGTGTGGGTTGTCCTCGTGCAGCTCTGCGACCTCGGCCAGCAGCTCTCCCACGGCCCCTGCCTCGATGTGGCTCTTTTTCATTAGTCCTATCTTTACACTCATAGCTTTTGTGTCCCGGCTTACCACAAGTAAAACATGTGATGAATGCACTCTCTTGATCGGTTGTGTCCTTGTTTGTGATGATTTTTGTCTCAGCGTCCAGCAATCTGGCTTTTACAAAATCAAATGTCAGTCTCTTCTCTGTAGCCATGGTCTCGATGGATGTAATTACAGGATCATATTCCTTAGGCAGCGATGACAGCAGGTAACAAATATTATCTTCATCATCAATTTTGACTTCAATCGCCTGGAGATCATTAACAATTGATGAGAACTTTATGAGGTATGTTTCTAATGGCTCATTGCACTTTAGAGTTATTAATTTGCGTTTTAGGTAGAACCTGTTGTAGACACTTTTTCTCTCAAATGTATTTTCCAATAACGTAATCATCTCTCTCGCTGTTTTCCCATCCTTTATTATTTCAATGTAGCGGTCGGAAACGCACATTGCAATTAAAGACTTTGCCCTCGAATCGTCTTTGATAAATTCGGCGGATTTTTCTTTTTCATTATCTCCTTCTTTTAATACGTATGCAACTTGTTTATCTTCTAACATCAGTTTAAGGCGAAACTTCCACGTGCTGAAGTTTGACTTCTCACCCAAGCACGGCAACAACGACATTGACGAGACCGCAGCCCCCGACGACATGTTTGCGTTGTCTTGATTTTTTCTCATTATATTTCATCCACGTGGATCGCAACCCAGTGATGATGATTCCTTTTTCTTTTAGCACTAACCACGCTCTGCTACCATGTTAAATAAAAACTACGTTGTATTTTATGGAACGTGTTGGCGTTTATTATTAAAATAAAACATTTAAACAACAGTCGTCTAAGTCTATCATTTTTAGAAGGAAGCAGGAACTACACAGAGTATATTGCTACGTATATAAACTGTCACATTGACAATAGACAGATGACAGACAGTGAGGTGCCTGACATTTCAACAATACAAAATAAACAAAAGTAAAAACTTTGTATCCGACCGGGAATCGAACCCTAACCTGTCATAGTCAATCTTGCGCCATGGCCGCTTGACCACGATATACATACATACTTTATATTTCTATAAATAATATATAATATATTTATGATTTATGATATAAAACATACCAATAGTGATAGGATAACAAAATAAGAAGATTTTATCAAAGAAAAATATCGATTCAAATCAAGAGTTAGAAACATAGGAAAATATATTATTATTTATGTAAAGAATCGTTTTCTTTCAGTTACTTTTGACTTTAAAAACAAGGAGATATTAAAACGTTTAGTAATGAGATATATTCTTTTTTATAATAATGTTATATCTATAAATAAAACCTTTCTAATACCATTTATTTATAAAAACTAAAAAGTAGAAAAAATACCTAGGAATTACATTATTATTATTAGATTTATACATAACGTTAAGTTATAAAATGATTATTTTAAATATGTTAGGACATTAGCACACAGCACCATCTAGTTCCATGGTAAGCTGCGAGACCTGTGTTATGGATACCAGATAGTTGATACACTACATACATATAATTTTAAATACATACATATTATAAATATAAACACCCATGACTGGAGTACAAACATTCGTGCTCATCACACAAATGAATGCCCCCAGCGGGACTCGAACCCGCGACCGCTGGCGCAGCAAGTAGGGTCACAACAAACTGAGCCAAACGAGCTGTCATGGGTGTGTACTATTTTATATTACATACATTTATAAATCGAGGAATAAAATGTTGAAGTGTGAAGTGTTTTAGTATATGAGCATTTAAAGTTATATATATATGTAGTGTATCAACTATCTAGTATCCATAACACAAACTCGTAGCTTACCATGGAACTAGATTGTGCTGTGCGTTAATGTCCTAACATTTTCATTTTCATATAAAGCGCTCATGTATCTTTCTCAATATGGTCGACCACCCATTAGTCTAAGCTTTTATTATTAGTGTACCTACTCAATACATTTAAATTATAAAATATTATGTCTCCAACCAAAGAAGACGTTATCTTTAAAACATCGCAAAACTTACCACATTTGATGGCAACCCTGCCAGGATGCACATGTTCTAGCCCCAATGAATTAATCAGATCCAACTAAATTAAAGCTAATAATTTTGCCTAATAAATGTGGAAATGTCACCTATCACATTACTCACCTGTGTATAACCGCGACAAAATTAGCTGTGAACGGTGTCAAGAAACTAGTCCGCCACTTTCTATCTACGTCCCTTTCGAAACCATAAATTTCTGGGAGATCGTGATTAAGACCCATTGCTGAATATATCATTTATATCATTATGTCGTGGGTAACATAGCCAAAGAGGATCTCAAAAGCCATTTTTTTTGGCTTTATCAAACTTTTCGTATAGATCCTTAAGGCCTGAAGCTTCGAGTTGTAAGTTCATGGGATGCCCATATCCGTTTCTAAGAATGGTGGATCAAAATTATACCAATTCTTGCTTTTTAAGTTAATCAAAGTTAGAAACGTTTATAGATCCTAACGCTTTAATAATCTTAAAAACTTCAAATTTCATTATTTTTTTATAATAATGGTAATAACTAAATAACTAATTGAAATTTTACCTTAAGTAATGTCTGATATCTTCAACATATTCCAAAATCTGTAAGTCTTCATCACTAAAGAGGGCACACCAGGGACTTCTCTTCAAAACTGTAGAGGCTCTATAAAATCGGCATAGATCGTACATAACCCATTACAATGCGAGACTCTAAATAACTTAGTCCAATAAGCTTTAGAACATTTGCAAGCATCTAAAAGAATCAAGCAAAAATTCAGGAAATGCGAAAGGGATTAAAACTGCTTTTAGTTTTCAGAAGCTGGCTCATTTTTTTAATTTATTAATAAACCTACCTAGTCACGTTTTAGCGTTTAGCTTAGAGATGAGATATTTTATTTTTCCGCAGTAAAAAGTATCCTATATACTGACCCGGATAACCAGCTATCATCATACCAAATTTTATCAAAATCTGTCCAGTGGTTTTCTCGTGATGCGGTCACACACAGACAGACAGACAGACAGACAGACATTATGTATCGATAATAATGTCTATTCCAATAAGATTTTCCAAAAAATATATTTAATGTACGGATTCGGCTTAGTTAGAATTTTATTATAGGCATGTATAGATTATATTTTAATGAAAAGTATTTATTTTATGATTGAAATATATTTTTATAACAATTTTTAGTATAACTAACCTCGTACTTATGATATATCATTTTATCATGATAAAGCAAACTTGTAAGTTGAAACAAAAGTTTGTTCGTAATTAGTCACAGATAATAAGAAAACTTTAAAAGAAAATCTAAAATAAGCTTTGAAAACGTACGAAGATTGATCAAGATAAATAAAGAAGTGACGAAATCTAGTGTGGATATTAACACTACCCACCTGTTGGAATTCTCGAGTTTCTTGATATTTGCTTATTTCAGATATTATTTTAGTACTGCGAATAACTTCGAGCCTTGTCTTACAATATCTGTATGGCTAAAATATTAGCTTTAATCAACATATAAATTGATAAAAAATATGATTTTACGTTATGTCTTTGATACTAAGAACAGGGAGTAAGATTTTTTTTAATAGACAATTGACAAGCATTTATTTTGATTCCCCATACAAACTTTCATCCCCATTTTCATCCCCTTAAGGGAGGATTTCCGGAATAAAAAATATCCTATGTCTTTTCCAGGACCTCAAACTATCTCAACTATTACCTTTCATCTAAATCGGTCCAGTAGTTTTTGAGTTTATTCGTTACAAACATACAAAAATACAAATCTCTCCTCTTTATAATGGTGGTGTAGATAGTGTAGATGAAGAGAAACAAAATTTTAAGTACTTTTTAAAAAGGAGTAGGTCATTTTAAATAAAACTATGTATTCTGTTTTTTTTCGCAGATTTTCCCGACGTCTCTCTTTAAACATCTAAATAAATCCGCCAAAAAATCCGAATAAATAGTTTTATTTAAAATGTCAAATATTCATATAAATCTTAGAAAGTATTATTAGGAGTATATCTATCGAACCAATTGAGGGTGTAGGTTTTATTTACCTTATCTTACAAATGTTGCCCATCTATTCTGTCATGCTCCAAGGAAAAGTATACAAATTCAAATATTAATTTTTTTTTCAAGAATAAATTATATATTAAAGTTTTTTTCTGAACGTCATGAGTCTACTATCAGTTCGGAAAGAAGAAGCCTCAGATCTCAGAAGAACTGGCGAGAGAAACTCTCAATGATTAGTAATTCTTGTCTATAATTTTTTCGACTGTGTGGCTCAGTTTGTTGTGTGTTTGTACTTGCTGTGCCAGCGGTCGAGGGCTCGAGTCCCGCTGGGGGCCTTCATTTGTGTGATAAGCACAAATGTTTGTACTCCAGTCGTGGGTGTTTATATTTATAATATATTTAAAGTTATATATGTGTAGTGTATCAACTATCTGGTATCAATAACACAAGCCTCGTAGCTTACCATGGAACTAGATGGTGTTGTGTGTTAATGTCCCAATATATTTATTATATTTATTTATCTATTTTCCTTACGAATAAACTATTTTATTATCAATAATATGTTTTTGTGTTATGATACAGGCTTCAAAGAATATCGTATTCATCGTGTAATCCAATAGTACATCGATGTACTTACTATCTATACTAATATTATAAACAGATAAAGTTTGTGAGTTTGTGATGTTGTAGGGAGTAATCACTGCATCTACTGAACCGATTTAGATGAAATTTGGTGAAAAAATAGTTTGTGACCCTGGAAAGGATATAGAATACTTTTTATCCCGGAAATCATCCCTTAAGGGGGTGAAAATGGGGATGGAAGTTTGTATATGCATGCATGCAAACTCACATACCGAATCCGAATCTAGTATATACGAGTATAAAATTAGTATATCAGCTGAACTAATAAGAGTGAAATTTTATGAATATAATAAATAATAAGAATTATGAATTAAGATTACGCAACCTTGAACTGATAGAGTTGATGATCATGATATGAATTATTTTAAAAGTGAGTTTATGATTTATTTTCGTGTTCATTTTTCTTTACTGTTTGAGTTAATATCTGAAAAGAAACCTATAAGAAGTAAATGGTGCAAATATTTTTTTTAACGTCCCACTGCTAGGCTGGGTTTCGCTATAATACGAGGGGGATCAGGCCATAGTCCACCAAGCTGGCCAAGTGCAGGTTGGCGGACTGCACATGTCTTTCGAAGCTTGCTACATTTTCTGAGACGTACAGGTTTCCTCACGTTTATTCTTCACCATAAGACAATTTAATGGTAATTGTGCTGGAAATGATTCGCACATATAAATATCGGAGGTGCAAGACCCAGGACTTAAACCCACTTCACTTAGTTTCCCAAGTGACCATGTTACCACTAAATATTAATATAGAAAAATAATTTCATCATAATCGGACAAAGCTTTAGAGAATTTTTAAATGTACACATATAATTAAAATTAAAGAGTCTGTCTGTGGTTTTAAATTACTTAGTTAATCAGCGTGGAGTTTTATACTCATACGTTTATTTAGATGAGATGAAACCTAAAAAAACCTTTGAAAATTTTTGTCTGCGAAATCGAACATAGTATAGCGAATTGATAGTATACTTTTATATACCCGGTAAAATTGGGAAAGCCAGAATAGATTTTATTAGGGATTTTTTCATAGAAAGTGACATAACCTACTTTTTTCCTGAAAAAATATAGGATGTGCAAGGAATATGGACTAAACTTTTTATGATTTTTCAGTATAGAATTTATTGAAAAGTAAAACTGAGTGAAAAATCTTGTCGTTATTAAAGCACTAAAAATAAATAGCTACACCAACTCACTGTGGAACATGAGAAGTCAATTAATAAAAATTATGTGTTGAGTAATCTATGTATTTATATATTGTTTCACGTTTTTGTAAGGTTAAAATACCTAATATTTAGTAAAACACAAAAGCAAATCTTTCCCACGGGAACTGCACATTTTTCCGGGACAAAAAGTAACCTACATATACTATGTGTTATTCCAGACTATAATCTATCTCTATGCCAAATTTCATCGAAATCCGTTCAGCCATTCTGGCGTGTTTGAGTAACAAACATCCATCCAAACTTTCGTATTTATAATATTAAAGGGGGTTACAAAATATTCACTAGCACTCGGGCGAACTGTCTAAAATAGCATCCAAGATTTGATGATGTCAAATTTTGGCTGGTTGCCGAGTGCATGTAAAGTACGTGTACCTTTAGTAATAGTTTAATGTTTAGTTCCATTATATTTTAAAATCTCTATATATATAATAAAATTGTAACTAAGCCAAATCTGTACATTAAATATTTTTAGGAAAATCTTATTGAAATAAACAATATTATCGATACAGAGGCTGAATCTATAGTTTTTAGAATTTTTGTCTGACTGTCTGTCTGCCTGTTACCGCATCACAGAAAAACCACTGGAGGGATTTTAATGAAATTTGGTATGGTGATGGCTGGTTATCCGGGTCAACATATAGGATTTTTACCGCGGGAAAATGTCTTATTTCTGAGAAAAAACACAAAAACTGCAATATAAGAGTATACTAATATGTAAAACCTAAGAATTTGGGTTTTGGTCATCTGAACGCGGGCGGAGCCGCGGGCAATGCTAGTGTTATAATATGTATGCATATTGAATTTAAAAGTTATTTTTTATATTTCCCATATAATTTATAATGGTATCTTATAATTATGTACATAATTTATATGTTTCATCAAATGAAATTGTAAGACTTATCTAGTTTATTTTGTAAACTCAAAAAAATATTCAATGTTAAACCAAAATTGAGGGTTATGAAATCTATTCAAAGTTAAACAAAAAATGTGGAGAATAAGAAATAAAACGTCAGTTTAATATTTTATGACAACGATATCGCTTTATTGGATGTCAAGAAGGCGAGCGATGGGTGCGTGCGATGCTGTGTAAAAGGTGAAAGGTGTGTCTCCGGGGATCAGACGCGCCCACCCATCCCCCGCCCCACGATACATATGGTAATAAATAATTATAAATAAATATCAACAAGATACAAAATATTCATTAAAAACATTATTAAATTTGTTTAATTTTGGGCGTAATGTTTAATACAGCTTTTTGGTTCACGCTGTTAACACTATAATATACGTATGTTGAAAACTGTACAGTCCGTTTTTAATTTCTGTAGTGGAACGTTTAGAAATCGTTTTCGGGCGCCAGATCGAACCTTGGTGGGAAAGTGCCGAAGCCGTCAAATGCGGGGCGCGAGCGTTGGGGCTGTAAAAAAACAATTAATTAATATTTTATATTACCAGAAATACATTTTGTAGAGCTATATAATGTATGGAGCGGTCCCATACAATTTTTTGTCAGCATTATAATTTGGGTAATGAAAAATTGTCTTCAAAATTCGTCAAATTGAAAGAATCAAAAAAGTATTCGAATATTTTTATATCCGTAAATTTATTATAATCCAAATTGTAATATCGCGAGAATCGAACCCGCTATATGAAATACTCTTCTTAATTAATAATTACTCTCAATAACATTTATTTCAAACTAAATAATTGGGACATAGAAAACTGCATGTTAGGGGACAGTATATAAAAATAGTTAAGGCATCGCGTACACTCCGCCTTTTTACATACATATACGTGCGGGAAACATGCCGGATATGTCATTGATCTGAATAAATACACAGGCTTTAAAATCTATACAGCACCGTATTTGTACTGTTGTTGTGTTTTTGGGGATAACACAACTTACGTATATCCAATGATGATCTATGGACGCCCTTTAACGGACGCCTGAACAAAAAAAGAGCACCGTTTAGTTTACTTTGAAGAAGATATTTCGTACATATTTGTTAGTTCAATTACTATCTTAATATATATATAATTCTTCTGTACGTCTGTTTGTCATCTTATTCCTCCTAAAGAGCTGGACCGATTTGGATGGAATTTTGTATGTAAATTTTAATGGGCTCCTGAATAGTTTGAAAATACAATTGGACCCGGTAAGTCGAGCTGCAGTCGGTGCGTTTTTTAGTAGTTTGAACGCGGGCAAAGCCGCGGGTACTGCTAGTTATTTGTAATAAATTAAAAGTATCATATATATGATACTTTTTATCATATATATATATGATACTTTTAATCATGGAAAAATCTGCCGTCTTCAATTTCCGTATTAATTTTCTATGTATAGTTATTTTTATATTTCAAAAAAGGTATATAATAATATAGTTAACTCACCGCCGGACTGACTCCTCTCGCGGCGGATCCCGCGCGTCCCTTGCCACGGAACTTGCTGATAGCCTGCTCAGCGAGGTCTGCCCTCTCCTCAGCTTCTTCCAACTCTTGCTGTGCTTTGCGGAACTTAGCCAAGTTGAGAGCGGCGATCTCTTCGGCTTCCTCGATCTGCCTCTTGTAGGTCTTGATCTTCTGTTGCAGTTTGTCGACCAGGTCTTGCATGCGCTCGTGGTTCTTGCGGTCCTCCTCAGCTTGGAAGGTGAGCTCCTTGATGCGTCTCTCAGCCTTGCGGAGATTCTTTTGTGCGTCGGCGTGTCTCCTCTGTTCGCCGTCAAGCTCGTTCTCAAGCTCACGTACCCTTTGTTCGAGTTTCTGGATAGCCTTCTTGCCTCCTTTGAGCGCGTTAGCCTCAGCTTCGTCGAGCCTGACTTGCAGTTCCTTGATCTGTTGTTCAAGGGCCTTGCGGAGTTTCTCCTGTGTCTGAGCATGTTCTTGTTCAGCGCGAAGTTCATCGGCGAGCCTGGCGGCATCAACCATAGCCTTCTTGGCCTTTTCTTCGGAGTTCTTAGCCTCGTTAAGGAGCTCATCAAGGTCGGAGTGCAGGGTCTGGAGCTCAGATTCGAGTTTCCTCTTGGCAGCAGAGAGGGAAGCGCTCTGGGCGGACAGTTCGTTGAGTTGCTCATGAGCATCACCAAGTTCCTGTTCGGCTTGGCGGCGGGCACGGTCAGCTTGTTCCAGGAGAGTACGAGATTCCTCGAGCTCGTTCTGGAGGGCGTTAGCACGGCGTTCAGAGATGCCAAGCTGTTCGCGGGCGTCGTCACGGGCGCGCTGTTCTTCTTCCAGAGCGGTCTGGAGGTCCTTGATTTGTTGCTGGTAGCGTTTAATGTTCTTCTGGGCCTCAGCGTTAGCCTTGTTGGCGTGGTCGAGAGCAATTTCAAGTTCATTGATGTCAGCCTCAAGCTTCTTCTTCATGCGCAGGGCCTCAGCCTTGCCCTTAGCCTCGGCTTCGAGGGAAGCCTGCATGGAGTCGAGGGCACGCTGGTGGTTTTTGCGGGTGTTTTCGAATTCCTCTTCCTTCTCCTGGATCCTCCTGTCGATCTCCTGTCTGACCTGAGACAATTCGAGTTGAGCGCGCAGGACCTTGTTCTCTTCTTGTTCAAGAGCGGCTTCAGCTTCCTCGAGGGCAGCCTGGAGCTCATCCTTCTCGGCTTCAAGACGCTTCCTGGCCTTCTCGATTTCATGAATGTTGCGGCCACCTTCACCGATTTGGTCAAGCAAGTCCTTGACTTCATCGGCGAGGTTCTTGTTCTCGCGGCGGACAGCCTCGAGTTGTTCCTGACCTTCTTCGTAGGCACCCTTAAGGCGGAATAATTCAGTAGAGTAGTTACGGCATTCCTTCTGACTAGCGTCGAGTTCAGCAGCAAGGTCGTCAACCTTGAGTTTCCATTCACCAATGATCTTATCAAAGGCCTTCTGTTTCTTCTCGGCAGCGTTGGCAATGGCAGTGGCACGGTCAACCTCGAGCTGCAGGTCCTCGACTTCGGTAGCGAGACGCTGCTTGGTCTTTTCGAGGGCAACAACCTTCTGGTTGAGGGATTCAATGGTTTCCTCGGCTTCGGCGAGACGAGCCTGGAGCTTGCGCTTGGCCTCCTCGAGTTCCTCGGAGCGAGCGACACCCTCGGACTCGTACTTGGAGCGCCAGAGCTGAGCTTCAGCGTTGGCCTTGGACAGCTGGCGTTGTAAGTCAGCCTTGCCTTCAGCCTCCTCTTCGACTTGTTCGCGGATGTTGTCCAAGTCGTGTTCGAGGTTGCGGAACTTGCCAAGTAGAGTAGCGCGTTCCTATTAAAAAAAGTAATATTAGTATTAGAAATAAAGATTTCCAAAACATTTTTTATTTTTACTTGATTTTTAAATAAAAGCTATAATAATTTATCAATGTATTGTGTGATGATCGATTGAATTTATAAAAGACAAAATACTATCAATACTAACCCTGGCCTCTTCGTCAGCGAGCCTCTTGGTGTCCTCCAACTGGGTGGTAAGGGACACCTTGATCTTGGAAAGCTGAGATACTTGGGACTCAGCCTCCTCCAATTGGCGGAGCAGGTCAGAGTTCTCGATAGACAACTTCTTCTTGGCGGCATCCAGGTCGTTGAGGGTGCGGTTGGCCTCATCAGCCTTGCCTTGGACTTCGTTGAGCTGGTGTTGCAATTGCTTGACGATCTTCTCTTGGGCAGCCTAAGAAATGTATTTTATAAGAAAATAAATATACTGATATGTTACAAATGATCGTAATGTCATTGTGTATGCTTGTTTTATAAATGATACGTGGTAATAAGGGTTATTATTCAAGAATATTTAACAACATATAAACAACTTAACAAGAAAATCGGGTAATTTTTTTGTTAATAAATGTACACACGTCAAACGTTATTATTTACTTTTTTTTATAATTTCATGCATTTGTATCTTTTTAGTTCCTTAAGATCAAAATTAGTAAACAATATCAATCAAATATGTTTAATTATTTAAAAGCAGTCCTAAAGCATTTTCTAAGGAAAATTTTCTTAGTATTTGTTATAAATTGGTTTTATTTGTAAGGTTGTTGTGTATGTGTTTAACTGCTAAATCTAATTTTGCTCGAAATTTGTACAAAGCTGCGAAGCATCCTGTAATTGCCAACACGATTATCTTTTCATCATTTGTGTACCTTTTCGTTGGACAAGTGGTCGAGACCGGCGCGAAGGTCATTGACTTCGCTAAAGTATTGAGAGCGCTCTTTCTCAGCCCTGGGTAGATAAAATATAACATAATATATATTAGAGTGATCCTAGTAAGTTTTTTGGTACCTGTGGAATTTTGTCCTATTGGAATAAATCATATAATAAATATATGTTATTATAAGTTGTCTGTAGTGTACATGTACATGTCTATTGGGAAAGGACATATCATGCAATTCACCCCAGGCGACACATGCCTTAAGGATGACATGTTACCTTTTCCCTTGCAACTTGGTCAATAGCAGCACGTGTGTTGTTAAGCTCGTTGTAGGAAGACGCACGATCATGTTCAGCCCTGTTTTTGTAGTTATATGAATATTTATTTATAATTATATTATAAAACATTACCCATAATTCCGTCAGCTGCTTGCAAGAAAACTTAAACTATTTTATATATTTAAAAAAGGGCCCATTAAGATGACATTTGATTAATTTTATTATATAATCAAAATACTTACTTAGCCTTAAGCTTGTTGAGCTGGTCGAGCTGCTCGCCCATCTCAGCAACAGCGTCATTGTGCTTCTTGCGAAGATTGGCAAGAGTGGACTCGTGTTGGATGTTGGCTTCCTCCAAGTCACGACGAAGCTTGCTAAGCTCAGCCTCACGCTTCTTGTTAAGCTCAATTTGAGCGGAGGTGGCGCCACCAGCCTCTTCGAGACGCTCACCGAGCTCCTCGAGTTCACGGGCGAGGTCAGCGCGTTGCTTCTCAGCCTTAGCACGAGCCTGGCGTTCGGATTCGACTTCCTCTTCCAATTCCTCGATGCGTGCTTGCAGTTCCTTGATCTGTTTCTGTAGCTTGCTGACAAGAGATTGTTCATCCTCGAGCTTGGCGGTAAGAGATGAGATTTCCTTGTCCTTGCGCTGGATGGTCTGTTCGAGTTCCTTTTTGTTGCGTTCGAGGTCGGAGACAGCTTCCTGGGTAAGTTTAAGGTCGCCCTCAACCTTCCTCCTCTGCTTCTCAACATCAGCGCGCAGTTTCTTCTCGCGCTCCAAAGAGTCCTCAAGCTCGTCGAGAGTCTGTTCGAGCTTCTGCTTAACTTTGTTAAGGTGGTTGACCTTGTCTTCAGCAGCTTGGAGCTCTTCGGAAGTCTTTTGGTTGGATTCACCTTGGAGTTTCTTCTCCTTGTTCAACTTGTTAATAAGCTCGTCCTGGTGAGCGATCTCATCGTTCAAGTTGCGGATTTGATGGTCCTTGGTAGCCTTGTCCTGTTCAGACTTTTGGACGGACAGTTCTAGGTCTTCAACATCCTTCTTGAGGCCAGAGATTTCCTGTTCCAACTTCTTCTTAGCCTGGAAGAGCTGGTTGCGAGCATCCTCTTCTTGGGTGAGACGGTCTTGGGTATCCTAAAATAAATTTAAAATAATAAACAATAAGCAATGAAATAATTTAAGAGTTTTAATTCCTTTGTTTATACCACATCTGTTTTCTATCTATTGGTTCTAATCGTATTATTTATTGTGTGGATTGCAATAAAATCGCGTAGTCTGCAGACGTATAATTTATTTTTAAACATCTTACCCAGTTCCTGTTGTAAACAAAATTTTGTTTATTTAAAGAACCGCAATGTTAACAAGCACTACATGATATTAGCAAGTTTGCAACTTACTTTATTGAAGGTTGGCTGAATTTAAAAATATCTACTTTGTATTTCAGCAACAGTAATTAAAGTAATACTCTAAATAATAATTCTATCTAATCTAAGTAATTAAAGTAAATCCAATCGTTTTTATACAACTGTGCAATAATTATTAAATATTAGCAAAAAATAAATTATTACTAAACTAAAAAGAATAATAATCACATCCATGGAGAAACTAAATTTAAAATCAAAATTTTTTGTCATTATATTAGATAGACTTACCCTAAGTTGACTCTCCAGGTCGGCCTTTTGGGCTGCCAATTTGTTGGCACGCTCCTGAGTCTCGGAGAGAGAACCCTTCTCTCCCTCAAGAGAAGAGAGCAGGGTCTGCTTCTCCTCAAGCAGCTTAGCGTTGAGGGCCTCAACTTCCTTGCGGAGTTTCTCTTCCTTCTCGAAAGCCTCCTGGGCCTTTTGTGCCTTCTCCTCCAATTTCTGTAAAACCACCTCACTTTTATCTACACCGTCCCATGTTGTCAAAAAATTTGCTGCCATCTTTATTTATTACACCATAAAATTAAACTAGGAATGCTATATTTCGGTTCGTTCGAATGTCGAGGAAGGGCGCGCGCACCGCCGACCACTTCGCAACTGAAACGCGCTGGAGTTTTCCAGCGGCGCGTAATCGCCCCCGCACATATTACATTGTATAAGTAAAAAGGAGCGTTGCTGGAGTGGGGAGAAATCCAGAAATGGCTGCGGCAGGTGCGATGGTGTCACGTAACCGCCAGGTGGGCGCGGTCGAATCTATTTATGTACACCTGAATCACGCGTTCTGAGTGGTATATTTAATAGGTCAATTCAATCATTGTACAACACAACAGGTACAACAAATGCTTACCGCGATCTCATCCTCGATGCGAGTGACGTTGAGAAGGGGCTTGACCCTCTGCCATAGTTTCCACCATGGCCAGGTGCGGAGCTGCAAGTATTTGCGCAAGTTGCGTTGGACAACTTGGAGGGCGACCCTATGAAAAGAAAATTAGTAAGATGCGGTCTAAGTAATTATGAATTATTTATAAATTGGTATTTATAAAGCGGTCGCAGTGCTTATAAAATATTTTCTCACCTCTGTTCCTGCAACTTCTTGTATTCTTTACGGGAGAGATAACCACGGATGTAGGCCTGGAGCCAAGATACAATCTTGGACAACCTGTCATCACGCAACTCTTCCATCTGACCCAGGACACCAGCACGGAAGAATACCTACTCATCCAGAAAGTAGTATTAGATAATAGAGTCGAACAAAATGTGCTAAGAAATATATTATAAGAAAGATTAGGAAGAGTAGAAAGAAAATAATTTTAAAGTTACTAAATAATATAAAATATTATTAATAATACTAATCTAAATATTAACAGCTTTACAAGAATATTAAATATGAAATAACTTAATTTGCAAATACATAGATATGTATATTATTATTATACGACACACATAACTTATGACAACATTAGTATAAAAAATAGATGTTGGGATATATTTTTAATCACATTAAAAAGCGTTAGTAAGTACAGCGTGCAAATAAGAGAGTTCTCTAGCTTTTTCTAATAGTTCTACCTTAGTTTTTCCGAGCCTGAAAGACTCCGAATCCAAGCCGGTATGTTCGAGAATTTTCTCGGTGGCTTTTTCAGCGGTAATAGGTTCTTTGACCAGGTTCGGGCACAGAATTTTGTATCTGCGTTTGAGAAGCACACAAGAAATGATAATGCGTTGTTTGAGGATATGACATGGAAAAAACAAACGAGCCGATGTATCTTGGGCTCTAAAGGATAAGCACCCTTACTCTGTAAGGGTTGGGGGTTGTATAATAAATACCATTCCATATTACCAGTTCCTAAAGGTTCTACTCTGTAAAGCGTTTTCAAGCCCTGCGATTAACCAAGTACATATGGATCGCTCAATGCAAACTGCTATCTACTGAAATATCAAACATGCCTTGGTGTGACCGAGACGGTAAGATTCGACATCCAAGCCCGTGGCCTCCAAGATGACTTGAGCGACTTTCCTAGGGTCAGTTTCCTTGTCGGCAGCTTGAGGGGCCAGGATCTTGTAGCTACATTGTCAAAATATATGACAAACGATAAAGGGATAAATATCACACAATAACAAAAAGAGCTACGCTCTTTAATACTTAGGTAGAGGTAAAACTAAATACTTGATAAATACTAAATACGATCTACAGTTAATATGATTTCGTATTTTCATGTACCCGGTGCCTTAGCTTTAAGTACCGGTAAATTTCTATAATACCAAAAAAATCTCTAAATACCAAAAAGTGTGTATGAATACTAAGAAAGGGAAAATTTTGAAAACTCTATTCTTTAGAGTTTATTCTAATTTCAATAGCACTTTAACCATTCATCTACAGAAAACTCAACAATATTTCCTTGCCTTCGTGTGACCTATACGATAACTTTCAGGGTCAAGCTCGTTCAATTCGAGGCACTTCTTAGCAGCCTCCCTAGGATCTTTTTCTGCAGACATGGCGGCTGGTGCAAGTATCATGTAACTGTTTTGTTTTAAATACTTAAGTTTAATAACCGTTGACAAATTTGGCTAGATACAGTAGTTGACTCAACTATCTAAAGTGTGAATTTGAAAGTTCGATTCATCAAAATAAATTTAGAACGTGTTACTCAGTATGACTGAGCATGCTTCCTATGACGTCAGTGAGAGTCAGCTGCAAGAGTACAAGAATAAAACTGTTCCAGTTTTACGAATGCTCCAGAGCTAAAAGAATTTGTTTAGACTGCCAAAGAAAATAATCATTTATAATTTAGTTATAGCCTTTAAGTTTAAAAATATGATTATAAATTTTATATCCTGGCATCCTAATTATGATAAATATATCTCAATTTAGATAACATCAACTGATGGATTTTATGAGGTTGTAATCTTACCGGAGCTTGAAGTCAGGGTAGACCATCCTGTTGGGGAAACCTTTACGGCAAATACGGATGCCTTCAAGCACACCGTTACAGGTAAGCTGGTGCATCACAAGGTGAGAGTCGATGAGACCTGGTGATTAAAGTCATCGGTTTAACGGATTTTATAAAAAAAAATCTTAATTTAATCACGTTAAACATAAATTGCAAATTCTTCTAACTTTTTCTAATATTTTTTTATAATATTAGAGTAATTATTGTAGTGTTTTGAAACATTTTATAAGCGTGAGTTCTTTTAATCTACAAATTTCTTATTTACTAGGTCATTTTAGATCTTAAAATATGTGGCAGCTAGAACCGCTGCTTTTAATTATATTCACATCGCTCAACACCCACATGATTTTGTAGGTGTCGAGTGTTTCGTAGGCGTTGTATATGATTGAGCTATAAATTTCCAAATTTATTAGGTGATTTGAATTTTTGGATTATATAAATAAAAATAAATGGGAATCTGCGATGACCGCATTTCTACTTTAAAATGTTACACGAATATAAAACCAAGGATAACTTACCAGCCTGTTTCAATTCATTGGGAATGATACAACGTACGAAGTGAGGCTGGGTGGATCTCAGGGTTGTCATCAAGTTGTTAAGTTGTTCCTATACATACATATATAATGAGATTTTGTACTTTGACCTATCAACTATGTATAAAAATGAAACTCATTACTAAAACCAATTTAAAAAAAATATTATTTAATATTTGAAATCACGAAATAAAGAAATTTTAATAATTCTTAAAAATCACACATGATATGATATGACATTTTGAAGTATTTTAATGATAACATGGACAAATAGTTAGAAAATGCACACATACAACTAGGGTTAAATAAACACACACCAAAAAGCTTAGTATTGTAATTAGCTTAACAATTGTCTTTTTCTAGACGATTTGAGCTTTAACGATATCGACACATTTGAGTATTTTGTGTCTAAAATGGATGGTGATATTTTTTTTTAAATAACAGTATAATGAATAACTCAGTATTATAATGATTGTGAAAAGAGGAACGTTCTTCGTCCTCTTATTAATTAAGGCTTCAAAACTATTTCGTTTAAAGAAACAGCTTCAGCGAGTGTACATTTAAGAAGTATATCTACACTCAATGAGGGTGATAAAAATAAACAAATAATCCAAATAATCATAATTTTTCTATACCCTGTAAGCGGAGGAGACAGTAGCAAAACCACCACCCTTCTTACCGCGACCTCCTATGGATATACATTAATAAGCAACGATTAATGCCAGGACAATCACAAGAACAGACATAGGATATATGAATATATATAAGATATCTCCGACGATGCGCCTGCTGGGCTTAAATAACTAAATTGCTATAAAACATAGACTGACATGGACAAACATATATTATTGTGAAGCATGAAGGATTGACACCTCGTCTGTACATTCATTATTAATAAAATCTTCAAAGGTGTCAGCCCTAAATATATAGATAGACGAGGACAAGAAGCCACGTGACAGAAGCAAGTTTCGGGCAGGCGAGTATCGTTTTACCCTGTAAAGTGATGATACGGTCTGGAAGGCAGAACCCTTGGCACGCTTGCCTCCAGCGCCTATTTTACGCAAAACAGAGTTGAGAATAGGAAAATAATGGTGCTCATGTTATTAAATGTGCAGCTTAATGTTAAGTAACAAATAATGAAATAGAAATCCGTTCAGTATTTAAATTAAACCAATATAGAAAGTTTAGTGAATACAGCTACCAAGTATTGACAATAGACATAATTCTTAGTTGTTTTTCTTCCTCCAGCTAGAATATATTTATTCCATAAAATAACTATCCATGAAAGCTGTTTGTGAAAAAAAAAATATTTTAAACCAATTCATTTTATATAGAGGTCTATTAAAATAATACGAACCCTTGCCACCACCACCAGCGCCAGCATCACCAGACTGACCAGGATGGTCAGCAAAGATCTCAACCAACAGTTTGTTCTGACCCTTCTTGAACTGGTCGACAACGGTGTCGTTAAGGGGGTCCTTGTTCTTTTCAAGCCATCCAGTGATGTTGTAGCCGACCTGTGTATCAATAAGTGAATTAGCTAGTTCCTTAAGGAATATATTTATTAATATCGACTATAGAAGCTGTCAAGAGATATTCATTTTTAAAAGGTCGTTTAAAGTCTAATAATGTTAAGATCATACGAGAGATACTTACATTACCGGCGTAGTGACCAATGGCAAAGTGGGCTGCTTGGCAACCAGGCTTGGGGGGCTTGGGCTTCAGGTAAGGAGCAGATTTACCCAAGTGGTTGTTGTTCAACTTCTCAACGAAGGTTTGATCGGTGGCTTTCGGGAACATAGACTCTTCCTCAAGAATTGAGAGGATACCCATAGGCTGAAATTGGACCAGTGTGATTAGGGTGTGAAGTTGTTAAGTGTCATGTGTTTTAATTTGGCAAAATGGTGTGTATTAAAAAATCCGCAATTTCTATATTTTATGTAATACATAAAAATGCTGTGTATTTTAAAAAAGTACTAGTCATTAAATTTGTGTAAAATGTAATATAAGATAAAACATTAAGTTAATTCAAGGGGAAAAAATATGTGGCCTTAAAAATAATTGTTATGCGTTATATTTAAAGCCTCATGCAATATAAAAACATTAAAATATTGTTGTGTAAAAATATTTGTGTTATGTCGCGTGTATTTATGCTGGTTAATTTTATCGTATATAAAATAGCTGTTTATTATGTATATATAGCAAATTAATTGTACCACAAATTTCTTAAATTATTATTAGCATATTTTAAATATTACGAGTATTATTATAATAAATATTTGCTCTACTGAATTTCTCTAAAGTGCTCCTAACGTGTCTCATTTATACAATTGTTGGGTCGCGATGGCTTAGTGCAAATTTTAGAGAGTATCTAGAATATAGCGAATGAAATAGCCTATTCGATTTTTGCGTGTATCAAGCTTTTATTTTTAATTGACCGCGGGGAGGGGATACAGCCAGTAAATACTTGCATTTGCAGGCGATGATAGGCATTGGCCTTAATTTTGACAGCCTGAAGCTTTTCTAAACGCGACCCTACAGCCTCAAGCTATATACGATATACCTCTCATACCTTCTCTATTAAATTAATGGTCGGTTGGAGGTCCATACCAAAATCTATAAAAGTCCACATGATCCCTTCTCTTTCGTATTCCTCTTGTTCTAGGACGAACATGAAATGATTAAAATACTGTTGCAATTTTTCATTGGTAAAGTTAATACAGAGCTGATTAAACCCGTTCATCTGCCGTGGGAACATGGAAAAGATTACGAAACAATCGTTAAGTTAAGTAAACCTACGTGTAGTTAAGTTAACCTATGTACTGGCTTGAGTTTTGTATGTCGGTGTATGTGCGTGTTCCGTTAAGAGTAAAAGTTTGGTTTTATACAATCATCAACACACAATAGTTCACACAAAACATTTATTACATTGGCAGGTCCCCGAGAAAAGCATTTAAAAGCAAAACAAATCCGCAATTTTATAATAATTTGACGACTTTTCTGGAGGACCATGGCGAGTGCAAGCGTTCTTGGTTGCGTTTCCGCCATATACCTTTTCAATAAGGTCAATGCAATTTTGGAGATCCATGCCAAAGTCAATGAAAGTCCATTCGATGCCTTCGCGTTGGTACTCTTCTTGCTCCAATACGAACATATGGTGGTTAAAGAACTGTTGAAGTTTCTCGTTGGTGAAATTAATGCAGAGTTGTTCAAAACCGTTGAACTGCAGGGAGATAATTATTGACAATGTTAAAGCTAGAGGTTAAAATTATTAATTAGGAGTAGAAAACGCCGCTACGGATCTCATTCCGTAGGTGGGTTTCCCTAACCAAGACCTGGGTGTGCAAGATATGAGCCACGTCTATCTCCATAGACTTGGCAGTTGTGCCAAAACCAAATTCTATCCCGTCTGTAGTTGTTCAGGCAACGACGAGCAAAACGATTCGATGGACTATTACCTTCTCGATTAAATCGATACAAGCAAGCAAGTCCATTCCAAAATCGATAAACGTCCAGTTGATGCCTTCCCTCTTATACTCCTCTTGTTCGAGTACGAACATGTGGTGGTTAAAGAATTGCTGGAGCTTCTCATTTGTGAAGTTAATGCAGAGTTGCTCGAAACCGTTGTACTTTTCAACAATATAAAAGCCCAGATGAATGGATGGGAAATAAAGAGTTAGATTGCTAAACTATAAAATCAATTAGTAGGCGGGTACGACGATAGCTAAACCAAAACACCGATAACACCAAAGGTAATGTCTCCCTAGGTGTGTTTCACCCAGTGTACCTTTTCGATAAGGTCAATGCAGGCCAGTAAGTCCATTCCGAAATCAATGAATTCCCAATGAATGCCTTCTTTGGTGTATTCTTCTTGTTCCAACACAAACATGTGATGGTTGAAGAATTGTTGGAGTTTCTCATTTGTGAAGTTAATGCAGAGTTGTTCGAACCCATTGAACTAAGGAAGTAAATCGCATTAATATCAAAGAAATAGTTATATTTTCTTTGTTTTACCTTCTACCTTTACCTTCTGCTACTATATACTAAACATAAAAACAATATTAATATTTAAATCCATAATACATTTTAATGGTATTACATTATAAATAAGAATGGAGAAGTTTCATGAAAAAAAATTTAAATCCATCAATAAATGACTGAGAAATTAATATTTTCTATAATTAAAGTTATTCTTACAAGCGCATCTTTTAAAGTTTCATAACTTTCTCATTTGTTGAGATATTTTAATAATTATTTCATATTTTTGTTATATTTTACTTAAATTTTTATAATTAATATATAAAAAAATTGAAACTTCTCCATTAACGTAATAACCAAATAAAAAACCGATTTCAAGAAACTTCATTGAGATTTACTTGTCTCCAAGTAAACAATCTATCTTACTCATATTCGATACTCACGTCGAAGATTTCGAAACCAGCAATATCCAGTACACCGATGAAGTGCTGTCTCTTTTGCTTGGTGTCTAGAGTCTCGTTACACTTCTTGACGAGCCACTTGAAGAGACGATCGAAGACACCCTTGCAGAGGGCACCCACAGAGTTGGTGACCTGGTCCTTGTTACGACCCTGGGTCACGAATTCGTTTCCGACCTTGATACGGGGCTTCAACAAGTTCTTGTACAAGTCTTGGCAGTCAACACCAAGGAGCTTAGCGACCTTCTCACCATCCTGTAAATGAATTTGTAATTATAAGTATTTGTTAAAGTAATAAAATGAAAATAATGTTAAATACCTCGTGTAATGTTGCCAGTTTTACACAAAAAGTTAAGTGCTATTTATTTTACAATTATTATTTTTACCATTTTTATAAATACACATTTTACAATGGTATATTCTAATTATTAATGACATTTTTATTATCTTTATTTAATTATAAGGTAAATATAAGATATAAACTTGCCTCAGTGCCGTCGGCTTCAGCCTGTTCCTCACGACCCCTCTGTTTGAACTTCATACAACCCATGTGCATGACGGCGGCGGTGATCTTGTATACGTTGTCCTTCTCTTCTTGGGTGAAGCCCAGAATATCGAAGGCTTGCTATAATAACAAAAGTATATGAGAACATTGCAAAATATGAAGTATTGAACATGCGAATTTGCCAAAAACATTTTTTTTGTATTAATAATCTACTTACTATCTGAATTTATTGCTTGTTATTATCTATGAAATATATATTCTTGAAAATTAAAAAAAATAATTAGTTTGGCCAAAAAATTTACAGTGAGTGCAAATTACTTAGCACATTAATTAATAATAAACAATAACTTAATACTAAATGTTAGTAATTGAAATATAGCGTTAGGGCTAAGTCGATACAGGCTTTTGTGATACGACTACGTTGAGGACAGGGTTCTATATTTCGTACGATGGTCATTTATACTAATATCTATCTACTTGATAATACTAAGTCCAGTTAATTGGAATTTAAACTATTATAAAAACGGAATATTTAATCCGCTATTGTATACGTAATATATAGGTATATGCGGATTTTTGAGATATGCAACGTCTTGTAGCATCTCCAAAGGTTCACTCAAAATATCTATATCGCGATCATTTTTTTTAACACTTACATCAGTTAAAAGACATTCTTCACCGTCATCGACGTTGGGGATGGTAATCTTACCCTGAGAGACGTTATAGTAATCGTATATGTCGTTGGACAACATACACATGTCTGTTGATTAAACAATGTTACATAATTACTCATAAGTATAAATTTTGAACTCCCTAACAAACCCTATCCGAACCTGTCGCTGTCGTGTCCTTGACATATTAATATCGTGTGTATAGTGCCTGTGCCGGAGAAAGGATAGCAAACTCAGGTGAATCAAACTTGTGCACAGTGCTCTCTGTACCTTTTGCAGGGAGCGAGCATGCTATGCGCATGTCAGAAATTTTGTCGGAATAAAGTCTAATTCGGTGACGCGAATATTGGAATCAAGACGCACGCTCCTTGCGTAGGCTCACAACTTACGACCGTCAGATCGAATTGCTCAACGTCGTTGACTCCAGGTATCCGCGTCTTTCCTTGACTTATGAGGGGATAGTCCGAAATGCGGTTGCTTAACATCGTTAACTCTGTAAAGACCAAATTATCTGACATACACAAGCAGACTGCGTTGTAAACCAGTCTTAAGCAAAGCAAGCAATAGAAAAAAGGGAAGAGAGAAGAAAGAAATATTGATAGATGAGCCAGTCGTCATATTCTGGACTCACATCAGTAAGTTTCATTTCCTCGCCGTCGTCAACTCCTGGGATAATGGTCTTGCCTTGCGACACGATGTGGTAGTCATTCACGTCGTTAGATAATAAGCAGATGGCTACAAAATGACACCAAGAACTGTCATGTTTGGTATTTGGTGCATAAACACTAGGGGTAACAATACATGCTCTGGTACGGGTATAAAATCTAATCTAAAAGAATATCTCGATCCTATTCAGAGGTGAGATTCCCCGATCATTAGCCGGTTACATGCGGCAAAGTGATCAGGAGGATACAAAAACGGGATTCCCCTTAAAGCCTTCAGTTCTAAGAAGGCTAACTTACGTCAGTCAAAACACATTCCTCTCCATCATCTACATTGGGGATGGTAGTTTTTCCTTGCGATACGATGAAATAGTCATATACGTCGTTTGACAGCAGACACATGTCTAAATATTAAAATTAAAGTTAATAATTATTTAAATGTGTTTTATGCAGTAAAAAAAAAATAACTGTGTCAAAGCTCAAAATGTGTAAAATATTTCTTGAGTGCCTTCTGAAGTTTACTGTTTATTTACTTGCTAATGTTGAGTATCTATTATAATCAATATATTATTTATGAGATATAGGTTTTTTTAATTCGAAGTGCTACCATAAATGGATAGAACATAAAATACAAATCCATTCAGTAATTTTCTTTTAAGAAAACTAAAATTTTTACCCACCTTTAAGTCCAGGAACGGATCCAGACATCATTTGGTAGAAGATGTGGTAAGAACGCTCAAGGGCTTGCTGGGAGATTACACGAGCCTTCTCAAGTAGATCTGGAGTAGAAAAAAATATATAGTACTTTTTCGGAAGTCTGAAGTTTTGATGATTTTTCCTCGAAAAAGCTAGTTTTCTTGAAACTTACAGGTCTCAATGTCAGCACCAGCCAGTTTTCCAGAAGGTCCGAAGTGGATACGGATGAATTTACCCTAAGTAAGGAAAAAAGTAGTGAATAACATGTCAATCTAATTAAACGTAGACGTGTATTATTTTTTTAGTATATATTTGTCTATCATAGAATTATATTTAGTGATATTTTAATAATTATAAAAATTAATTGATATTTTACTTCTTTGTTAAGAAATTATTTATTGAAAACTGTTGAACGTATGTTAAAATAACTAATTTACGTTCTATAAAATTACAGTTATTAGTAGTATAATAATTAAAAAAACAATACTTACGAAACGGGAGGAGTTGTCGTTACGCACAGTCTTGGCGTTACCGAAGGCTTCAAGAACAGGGTTAGTTTGTACGACCTGGTCTTCCAAAGATCCCTTCTTCTCCTGAGTGGGGTCCTTCTTTTGGGAGGCACCAACGGTGGCGAAGTAAGCAATTACCTTCTTCGTGTTCTCAGTCTTTCCGGCACCAGACTCACCGCTGTTGTAAATAAGGGATGAATTTTAGTTTTGTATGAGTGAGTATATTTTACTAAGTTTCTTGCTCTGATCGATTTTTTGACTATCATTCATGTCTATGTCGTATATCGTATGTGATATAAAATGTTACGCTTTTTTTCCAATATTATATAATGGAACTTATAACTTGCTAGATATTCGTAAACAGAATTCACTATTATTTTTTAAGCATGTTTATTTTTACCAAAAATGAACAATGACTTTTGCAAATTTACTTACGTAATCAACATAGATTGATTCTCGTGGTTGGTCAACATGTTGACGTACGCGCCGTCGGAAATGGCGAAAATGTGGGGTGGCACTTCCGAACGACGCTTGCCTCGGTAAAGCTTGGCGCATCGGGTCGTGTACACGGGGTATCTCTTGTAAGGGTTGATAGCCACACAGAAGAGACCCGAGTAAGTCTGGATGGATATAATAAAGCTTAATATATTGGTGGTTTTTGTAAAAATATCTATGATAAATCTTGAGATATTTGTTAATTTTAATAGTTAAGGGAGAAAATAATTTCGTATCAAACGAAACATACGGATTGACTGTAATTAGGATATTTTTAACAATTTTAGATTTAAATTTTGTGGTTTTGTCAGTCACGTACGTCATAAATATTCTCGAGAAGGTACAATACTTTACACAAACAGGGTTTTTTAAAAACAAGTATAACCGATTCTATTTTTGTAAGAAATTTCAAATAAGAGACACACGGCATTAAAAACACAGAAAACACACAGGCTAGAGATAGTACTGTATTGATACTTTATATCTCTATGCCTAATAATAATGAAATTCTCCACAATATTTGTAAAAAGAATCATTAAAATAATATAAGTAAATAAATACAATATTTATTCTAAAACAAAATTGTGGAGAGTTTCTGAAAAGATAAATCACTTTGCAAAATAAAACATGAAAGATAGAACTACACCTCTATAAAAGAAAATAGACGAGCCGGAAGTACATTTTATGATGCCTTTGTCCGACTCAAAAAAAAAAACAAGAAAAAAGTTTTTACTTCCAAATTTGCCGATTAAATTTTTCAAATTTATTTTTAGTAATATAACTTTAACATTCCATATTTATATTTAAGAAGTGAAAACTTTTTTATATAGAAGACTGAAAAAAAAAACTATTCTAAAACCATAAAAACACATTTTCCTAGACAACATGGAGTCTGTTTCCACCGTCTTGTCCTGTGTAAAAGGTTTCAAGAACGGCACTGAAAAGAGTAAAACCAAAGAGGATATGGAAAGAAGATACCAATATACCAAGAAGAGTATCGCATTTTTAGGAAAACGGACTAAAGTTTTATTATTTAGATACTAATTCTTCTAAAAAATCAAATTTTGCAAAATTAATAATCCATATTTTTAATTTAATATATTTCATTAAATTATTCTTTCACAAATTAAATCATTATAAAATAATATATATATATATATATATATATATATATATATATATATATATATATATATATATAATCGTGCATTTTTAATATAAATTCTATAAATTTGTTTCTACAGAAAGCGCTTCAATACACAATTGTGTATTTAAAACTGTTCAGAGTTTAAAATATGGCTTCAAAAATAGCTTTATAAACAGAATCGAGCTCGAAGAGCTATTTATGTTGAAATGTAATTTAGCTGTCAATCTCTAATTTATTGCGATACATCTTGGTAATATTCCAATGGGTGTCTATTTAAATGGTCGAAAGTTGAAAAGCATGCAAACTCCAACGCTGCATCTCCTCACGTCTCCTGACTTACGTAAATGAGTTTATGGTAATATCTCTGCTTCAAATTATACAAAACCGAAGCGTCGTTGAGGTATGTCAAGTTAGACATATCCTCACATTTTTCGTACTTAGGCGGGTTGACTTGTGCTACTAGATCCTTCTTGAAGTCTTTGGTCTGTGGGAAAATTTTTAGCATCAGTATAATATACGTGGTTAAGGCGCCTTTTGCGCCTACTTACATAGATGAGTTTCGCATAGTATCGTTGTCGGAGATTGTGGAGTACGGCGGCCTCGTTTAGATACGTCAGGTCAGCCATGTCCTCGACTTTCTCGAATTTCGGCGGGTTTACTTGTGAGAGGAGTTCCTTTTTTAATGTCTTCTCCTGCTCATTTAATTAATGCATTAATGTATTTATTAAAGGTACTTTCTATTCATATGGATCAAATGCAAACTTATTCTCCTGTGAATGTACTATTATAATTTAAATTATTTAAAAGTCAATGAACTTTGATGACATAATAATTGTTTTGTTTAACTACTATTATAAAGTTATTAAATTATTTTATGAACTGAGTCAAAACATTATAGTATCCTTATTTATTTTAATTTAAATATATTTTTCAAATTGTATATAATTACTAATATTTGAATGTAAAATGAAATAAATTCCAAGCAGGATTTTATTCTATTTCTAATTGAATCATGAATGGCTATCCCCCTAAGGATGTATACTTTATAATATAACTTTATATTATAACTTATTCCTTCTTCACTATGAATGTTTCACTACCTTTCACCAAGATACCATAATCCCATATTTAAGATAAATCACCATTTATGACTGATAATTACCTCGCCTCCGGGAAGGTTTACGGTCACCAGCTCGCCCTTGGTTGCCTTAATTTCACCCTGCACGAAGCCTTCTTTCTCGTCAGGAACCCAGCAAGCTTTCTTACCATCGTAGGGCTTGCTTTGGTCGATACGTTTCTGTTCGAGGGAGACGAACAGGTATGGGGTTGGATCAGGGTCCTCACCCTCTTGTACAATTGGCTTCGGCATTTCGGAGGGCTAACGAGACTTTTGGGCTAGTTGAGACACGAGAACACAGCCCTGAAGCCTTCCTGCAGACAACACTACACGTTAGACGGTTATTCTTCCCGATCGCAAAGCAGAGGCCCCCGTGCGTCTATTTGTGGCTGTAACCCGAGTAGTAGCCGGTTTGGGAACGGTGCCAGCCCGAACGCCGTTTGCGTAATACGAAGTTTTATGCACGCGTTTTTATTAGCTTATCCCGAACGGCCCTTCGCGGATGTTACGTCACAAGAATTCAGCTTTGGACCGACGCCAACGGATTTAGACCGATCATGGATTGTTGTTTATTGTCTTTTATGGCAATGGTTGCTGGTTCAAGAGTTCTGAATGACTTATGTTTATTGCTCTATCAATCAAGACTATTTTATTTACTATTAGAAATTACGTAACAGTTTTACGTATAAGTTATAACTACTAAAGTGACATATTACAGATACTATTTATATGCTAAACAATTTTCATTATTACTCTTAAATATTTATTTTTTATTTTTCAGTAATTAAAATCGAGTATTTTAATAAATTTAAAACGATATCAAAACATTTTCAGAATTCCATCAACAATTCCACTGAACGTTCAACATCCACCACCAAGGCAATAAACAACTGGAACCTCACTTGGAGCCACTCGCACTTTGCAAAATCCAATCCGGTAAACCAGCTGGCGTCACTGATCACACGCGATGTTAGTTGCACTGCACTAGACGCACGGGGCACGTGCATGCGTACTTACGTTTGAAGCCGTTCTGACCGGCGGCGGGGAGCGCGATTCCTTTTTATACTGGCAATACGATACCACCGCGCTCGATCACCCCATTTTAGGCGGATGCGAGCCTGCCCAGCATCATTCGTACACTTTCAGACGAGCTTAGCTTTCACTTGAGCGGGAACGCTCGTAGCGCATCGATGGAAAATTGAAAAATACGGGATGCTGAACTGGACTATGTTTATGCATGGTGATCTGGATTTAGAGTAATATAAAACAAATGTTATGGATTTTATTTATATTGTGATAGTACCTATCAATTTTCTGAAAGTTTCAGTGTTTATGAAATCGTTTATGTGTATTTAAAGAGGAAAATTAATAGAATGTAGTTATATGGAGAACGAAAAATTGATGTACAATAAATAAGGACATCTCTAAATTGGCGGAAAATATGGAATAGCATCGTTCCATCAGAGTATCGTTCCAGTGACATTATGGGCCATTAATATTTGAATTAATTACATTTAACGTATCGGTACGGGTGACACACATCAATGTAAACATGCAAGAGGGTTGGCTGGCCACGAGATGTCACATAAACGTGTGTAAATGCACTTTATGTCACGCTGGATTACGAAAGTAATATTTCATCTTAGCTAGGGTTGTCTAGAAATTAGACTTATAAGTACCATGAGAAATATCCTGGAAATATTTTTTTTTTATTTATTAAAAAAATATTTTTTTATATTAAAAAACAGCGATTGTGTAATTAACAGAAATATTTTTGTAATAAAATTAATTTGAATTTGCATGTTACATATTTTATTTTAGCATTTTTTTTATGTGAAGTTGCACTAATAGGTTTAGATAGCTAGGAAATACTGGAGCTTACAATGTAGAGTAGAAATAAAGGTTACTAAAATTCATATACAGATTTTTTTTATTTAAATTTGAATATTACCAAAACTTTTTGAAGAGTTATCATATTATTTGTAGAAAAAAATCTTATATTCCAATATGAAATAAAGATGAACAATGTTCATGGGCACGATTAACGAGATATATATAATTGGTAAAATATGAATAAAATTGTAAGGACTTGATATGATCTATACTAATATTATAAAGAGGCAGATTTTGTTTTTTGATCGCGCTTATCTCAGGAACTAGTAATCGGATTTGAGAAATTCTTTTTGCATTAGATAGGCTATATATCATATATATATATATATATATATATATATATATATATATATATATATATATATAGTCTATCTATCCCATACTAACTATTTAAACGTATCTTAGCTAACGAACCCAAGCGAAGTGAGGGTGAGTCGCTAGTACAATATATACAGATAGAAAACGGGACTAAAAGTTACTATTTTCATAATATTTCAGAAGTACTCAACTTTAGGCACCAGAAAAGCTTCAGTAGCTTCAGTACACGTATATAAAGCAATTACATATAAACAACAAGAAAATATACAGTAATCTATACATATAATAAAATTGTGACTAAGACGATCATTAAATATTTTTTGGAAAATCTAATAGAAATAGACATTATTATCGATACAGAGTCCGAATCTATAGTTTTTGGAATTTTTGTCTGCCTGTCTGTTTGTTACCGCATCACGAGAAAACCACTGGACAGATTTTGATTAAATTTGGTATGATGACAGCTGGTTATCCGGGTCAACATATGGATACTTTTAATCGCGGGAAAATATCTCATTTTTAAGAAAAAATACAAAAACTGCAATGTAAGAGTATTCTAATAAGTAAAACCTAAGAATTTGGTGTTAGGTCATCTGAACGCGAGCGGAGCCGCGGGCAATGCTATTTTATAATATATTCGATATAGTTTTTGTGAAACATATTTGGTTTTTGTAAGAAATAACTTTTTGTACAAAACATGAACCGAAATCATTTTTCCCCCTATAGAGTTGATTGTTTCATCGTTGAAGAAAGATAATCGTCTCATGTTAATAATTATTGAGTGATAACTATCGCAAATATAAATGACAACACTGTGTTTATTGATCTATATTTTTTTCACAATATCTAGTTACGTATTTTTGGTAACAAAAAAAAATAAAACCATATCTAAACTACAAAAAGAAGTTCTTACTCTGGCGTGAAAGAGTAACAAACATCCACACTCACAAACTTTCACATTTATAATATTAATTAATACGGATAAATAAAGTTTTCCCTCCTTCATAAATATAAGAACATATTAAGTTTTTAACAATTGCAAAAGTCCCTTATCTTGTTTTAAGAATTTGATCAGTTTTCAATATATTTTTTGATAAATCTAAAATAAAATGGCGAATTTCCAGTTCTCTTTTCATTCCACGATTATAATTATCTTAATGACTTTTATAACACCATCATCTGCTCTTATAAGCAACTTAAGTAGTTTATCAAGTTCTTTGTGCATTTTTGGGATAGCTTAAAACAAGGTACAGACGAAACCCTTAGGTATAATCTCGTTATGTTTGTACCGTTGTGGAAAGTATTTCTTTTTTTTGTATAGAAAATTGATAGGTATCTAATATGGTGGATTGCTAGCGGTACGATAATAGTAGTCCAATTATTTATTGCCTCGGTGGTGAAGTTGCTAGCCTGTATGGCTGCACACTGAGGTCCTGGGTTCGACTCCCGGGTCGGGCCAAGTTTAGTTATTGAGTCTCTGTGTATAGTAAGTCTCAGTAACAGCCCGAAGTTGGGAAGTTGGCGGTGTTTCACCCCCGTGCCTCGGAGAGCACGTAAAGTCGTCGGCCTTACGCCTTAACTCTCACTGGTTGTATCGAGCAGTCGTCCCACCGGAGTATGAGAGTGACAGGAATAGAGAGTGCACGTTGTGTCTGCGCGTACACTTGTGCACTATAATATCTCCTGCGCAGTTGGCTAGTCTCAATGAGATTCGGCGCCGTAGCCGGCATCGGCTAAGAGAACATCATCATCATCAGTCCAATTATTATGATAATTAAAAAAAAATAGGGCTGGTATACATGTAACTGAAAGATAATGAAAAATCTTGTGGTAGAGACTCTTCTTTGATCTTCATTGATTTCATTCATTCTTTTAATAATTTGATAACTTTAAAAATGATATAGATGTTTGTATAATTCACTAATTTCTAAAACATTGTTAAACTAAATTTTATAACATGGGATAAAAAATGAAAAAAATATCAAAGTAACGGTGGTAAAAAAATGATAAAAAAAGTTTTTTTATATATTTTTTTAAAATATATTCTATTTTTAATTGAATTAAAACTTTATAGTAGCATCTTATACTTATCATAAATTTTTAAATGAGTTAATTTAAGGCACTTAGTGTTTATCTTTGGCTTCCTGTTAAAATAAAATAGCATTTTAGAAAAAAAAAATATTTTTACTATCGACAAAATAATTCCATTTATTTTGGCGTAAATATTTAACTTTACTCATCAGTAAGATTTTACTTAAGTAAAGATAAAAATATAAAATGTATGGCGATATGAAATTCTCAGTGTGCGAGTCTGACTCGAGCTTGGCTGATTTTTGGTTCGTTTCCTTTCTTAAATAACATAACGAACTATACTAATATTAGAAAGAGGAAAAGTTAGTTTGTTTGTTTGACTGCGATAATCTCAGAAACTACTAATCCGATTTGAAAAAAACTTTTTGCATTAGATAGTCCGCTTATGAAGGCTATAGGCTATATATCATCATGCTACTACCCATGGAAGCGAAGCAGTACTATAATATGTATGTATTTATAATATGTACCTAGGGACGAGCACTAGCGAAGAGAGGGCGAGTCGCTAGCGATACTACCTATATGTTTTTAGTGCTATTATCGTATATCTCTAACATTGAGTGCCAACCCTAAACTTTAATTAAGCTACAAATTTCGGCATTACGAAATGTCATAACACATCCCGTCTCATTAAATTATCAGTTCAATCCAAAAACGATTTGTACATAAATTAAATAACATCTGCTTCTAATGTAATCAAATGGCGTATAAAATAAAAATTAATCGACTGTAACTGTCGTATTGATAGCCTACTCTTTTGCTGAATATTTATTATCGATAAAACTTAACTTTTATTGGTAATAATAGCAATTTATAAAGCACTAGCATTGCCCGCGGCCCCGCCCGCGTTCAGATGACCAAAAACCAAATTCTTAGGTTTTACATATTAATATACTCTTACAATGCAGTTTTTGTATTTTTTTCAGAAATGAGATACTTTCCCGCGGTAA